GTTGTTGACTGTTAGCAACCGTATAGATAGATTTTCTCCATTACAACCTGTCCCTAACCTGGTCTTTCAGGCCTTCCAATACTGCATTCATTGCCATAGTAACTAAATGCATCCATCTTGCTGCTGGTTGTCCCTTTTTTCTCTTTCATTCCACCTGTTCCAGCATTAGAGCCTTCTCTGGAGAGCTAGGTCTTCGCATAATATCTCCAAATAATATTAGGATAGTTTAAGACAGGTCATTTGTACTTACATTATAACTATACAGAGAATCCTCAACTTATGACTATTCATTTAAATAGTTCAAATTAACAATGACCTCAGAAAAAATAGTCATGGTCTAAATTTGAATTTACAACCATCACCCTGCCTTACATGATTGTAATTTGGACATTTAGCAATCAGCTCACATTTATGACCAGTTGTAGCATCCCATGGTCACGTAATCACAATTTGTGATATTTTTTTGCTGGTTTCTGGCAAAAAAAAAAAAAAAATGAAAACCAGGAAAAAAAGCTATTGGTTAAGCTGGATTTACACTTACAACATATGACTCAACTTATAACTGTGGTAAAAATAGTCATCAAAGACATTCTATCACAAGATGACTCGATGTACAACTGTAAACAATACAATTCTAGTTGTGTTTGTAAGTCAACGACTAGCTATAAAAACAGCTTGCAAATCTCAAGCAGGGTTTAACGATATGTACCAACAATATGTATTCGTTTCAATGAATTTAATTATAATTTGTGTAAGATTAATAGAACAGTTGCTCAGAAGGTTCTGTGCTCCTGCATTTTTATTTGATTCTTCCCTTGCTTAGGAATTACAGGTAAACCTTGTTTAGCAACTGCCCTATATAGTAATAGTTTGCAAATAAGATGGTAATAAATGATAATAAATTTATTTTCCAACCAGTGCACATTTGGGATAACAAAAGCCTTCATTGCCAAGCTAATTAGCAGACCTTAATCAATGTCTGCTCAGTTTCAGACAATATTTGGGGAGGATTCTAATCAACTAATTAAGGTCAGAAGTCTGAGCTTGTTAACTTGCAGTTATCACTTTTTAGGGAAGCATAGTGTTGTAGAGTAAAGCAGCTGAAGTGATTGCTTCTTTTCTGCTTTGGAAGTGGAGGTGATGAGAAAAAAAAAATTGGTCAGGCTCAGGACCCTGTATGAGATAACTTTATCTGAATGAATGCGATGGTACGTGGGAATGACTTTGGGAGACAGAAGGAAGTCCTGCAGCCTATACAATCTGGTCCTCAATGGAGGAAAAACTTGGGAAGTGTTTCAGAAGGAACCCTCTTTTCTGGAAACTTAAGAGGAGGGGGAAAACTGCTTTCAGTTTTATAATATTCTATTTAATGTAGCTTTACAATAAAGATTGTGCTAGTGCCCCTGGTTGTGCTTTTTGTCTACTCTGCCTTGAAGGGCTAACAATGAGACAGCAGCAACCAACAATCTCAACAGTGTGTCCCTCCCGCTCCCCCCCTTAATAGAAACCATTGGAACTAATTACAGGACCACCTATATATCAGCATTATCTGTTGATCTCTGATTCCAAAGAGGTTTCCTCCAGTGCTTGCTCTGCCATTGATACACTATCTGGAAGGGTATTAATAGAATAGAGAATTGCTTCCTGGCAGATGTTCCAGTTACTTAAAGTATTAGATAAATCTAGCCATTGTACATAGAATGTGGATTTGATTGGTTATGTCTTTTATATACCTATCTATATATCTTTTTATTTTAACAGAAAACAGAGGTGAACATGCTTTTGTATATAGCAGACAATCTGGGCTGTTTTCCTTATCAGACCCAGGAAGAGCCACTTTTTATAATGCACCATATAGATATTACATTATCAGTTTCTGGTAGCAACCTTCTGCAGTCATTTAAAGAGGTCAGTGAAATTCTCTTTTAATATCTTTCTCTTTGGTAAGTTATTTCTTACACATGCATCTTTAATAATTCAGTCTGAGAGATTGAAAGATAGAACCTTGGACAGATAGTTTCCCAAGTGGTCCAAACTAAGACAGTGCACCTGAATTGATCAAAATAGTATATCTACTGCCTACAGAATCCTAGAATAATTTTAATTTTGTCTGTGAAATTTGACCAAAAACTGTAATGGCGAAAATGAAAGGAGGAGAATATCTTTGTATAAATTTAAGCTCTAAAAATTTTTTTTAGTGCAGTCTTTCCATCTTAAATTCTCAGAGAGCTATATTTTTTAAGTTTATAACAACTTAATAGAGGTAGTATTGTATTCATAAACTACATTTTTTAAATGTTAATTTAAAATTCATCTGCTGTGAATTCCACCTAGGTCAGTGGTTCTCAACCTGCAGGTTGGGACCCCATTTGGGGTCGAACAACCATTTCACAGGGGTCGCCAAACAAGGCTGTCCGCCATTTTTTTCCCCTTTTCTTTGGCCATGCCCCTGGCACCTGGTGATGTATAAGTGGTTGGGAGTCACCACAACATGGGGAACTGTATTATGGGGTCACGGCATTAGAAAGGTTGAGAACCACTGACCTAGGTGGTCAGGAAGGGCATCTGGCCAGTAAACACTTAGCTCTATCCAGTCACTCCAACGCTACCAAAATTAAGGAACAAACAGATTGTAAAAAGAAAAAAAAATCAGACCCTTATTTGAGTCCCTTTCTGAAATGTATAGAATGTTTTACATTAATGTTAACACACCAAAATTATTTATTTATGGGTTTTTATAACTCACAAAAAATGTGACTCTGGGCAGCAAATAGCAATAATGACATTGACAAAAAGTGAACAAAAATTCTCATCATCAACAAAATATAATCAAGATGTATCAAAAAAAGACTATACCTCTTAGAGTTTATCTGACATCCTGGCCCTAACACTTAGGGAACTGTTAGTCTTCAAAACCTACATACAGTAGATGCCAACAGGGTTGGGGCTAATAAGCTCTGTATATACATACATATGCATACTGACATGCATAGAATAATAATGATTACTCCCATGTAGTGAAATCCATATGGTATGTAGACAAGAGCCAGCAATAGGGATCGTTCTCATAGAATCCATTCCTGAGGGATCTCTTAAACCCACTTAAGGTCAACTTCATCATATGTGTAGTTTGCTTCATACAAAATTTACAATTGATGTGCAAAACAAAAAGTGAAGAAGCTTCATATGATGAGTGAAATAGTCTGCCAAATGTTTTATTCAGAGCCTGTTTATTTTTCAGAATTCATTTAATAATATCTACAGCGGATTCATGAGGATTTTAATAGTTATTTTTCTTATAGATCTTAGATATAAAAAGATAGCTGTGTTCAGTGAAGAGGCATGCTGAATGCTATAAAGGACTGCTAGTAATGAAGTTAAGCAGTCTGTTTGGTGGAACATGTCAATTACATTCCAAATTGAAAATGAATTCACTGAGTGCTCGTGTATATATTTCAGTATTGATGTTGTGTTACACAAAGTGTCACTAAATTTCTCATAACCAGTATTTCAAATTTGTGAAAAATCGTTAAAATGACTGTGAAATTTAGAGATAAGTTATTGTTAATAGTCTAACATGTCTCTTTTTCTTTCAGTCTATGGTAAAATATAAAAAAGAAAAAAAGCCTTCCTCTGATGAAGAAAGTGAAAGTGAAAGCAATAGTGAAAGTGACAGTGAAAGTGAGGAGGAAATTCACAAATCCCGGAAGTCACGAAAACGTGCAGGTTCCGATTCAGACTCTGATGAAGAAAATGATATAAATGCAGTCATGAAATGTTTGCCAGCCAATTCAGCTCCTTTGATTGAATTTGCAAATGTGTCCCAGGGCATATTATTGCTTTTGATGTTAAAACAGCATTTGAAGAACCTGTGCGGATTTTCTGATAGGTAAGAACCATTTTAGTTTTGCTTATATTACCTCTGTTTTCTAAATTATGAGATTGTATTTGGGACTGAACTCTTGGGAATTTGAATCAACAATTCTTAAATATTTAAGTTACATTTGTTTTTGTAATGTTAAAAAAGTTTGACTGATTCAGAATATCTGTTGTTATTGCTTCCTTTAAAGTACACCGGGATTTTTCTTACAACACTTATTTTGTTTTATTAGTAAAATTCAGAAATACTCACCTTCTGAATCAGCAAAAGTTTATGATAAAGCGATAAACAGGAAAGCAGGAATTCACTTCCATCCAAAACAGACACTGGACTTCCTTCGAAGTGATATGGCTAATTCCAGACTCACTGAAGATGTGAAGAGGAATATAGTGAAACAATACTTAGATGTAAGTTTTCACCATTTAAAACATCACTATTTACTTACTGGCTGAAGATAGACTTTTTCCACAGTTGTGAAATGAGATAGGTATCAAATTAAATGTTAAATGATTATAGAATTCATAAAATACTTTTATATCTTTACACAAGAAAAAAAGTTATATGCAAGTAGTCTTTGACTTATGACGAGGAGCCCAAAGTTTCTGTTGCTAAGCAAGACAATTGTTAAGTAAGTTCTGTCCCATTTAACAACCATTTTTGTCACAGTTGCTAAGCAAATTACTGCAGTTCTTAAGTGAATCATGAGGTTGTTAAATGAACCTGGCCTCCCCCATTGAATTTGCTTGTCAGAAGCCAGCTGGAGAGGCTACAAATGGTGATCACATGACCCTGGAACACTACAAATATTATAAATACAACTGGCACAGTTGTCAAGTGCCCAAATTTTGATCATGTGACCATGGGAATGCTGCAATATTTGTGTGCAAAATGGCCATAAGTCACTTTTTTCAGTGATGTTGTAACTTCTAACAGTCACTAAGTGAATGGTTGTAAATCAAGGACTACTTGTAGTACAGGATTCAAGGTGGTGTAGTGCTTAGAATGCAGTATTGCAGAATAACTCTGCTCACTGCCAAGAGTTCGATCCTGACTCAGCCTTCCATCCTTCTGCATTGGTAAAATGGGAACCCAAATTGTTGGGGGCAATATGCTGACTGTGAATCGCTTAGAGAGGGCTGTAAAGCACTGTGAAGCGGTATATACGTCTGCTATTGCTACTGCTATTACGTAGTTCTGTGCCATTAAATATGTTTTTAAGTAATTAAAGTAAATGATGAATCAGAAGCAGCATATCTTGGCAGTATTTATATATTTGAACTGCTTTAATCATACAACTCACAGTGGTACAGTATATGAAAACATAAAAATCTATGTTAATGAATAAAATATACAGTATTTTAAATTAAAAATATATTAGAATCCATTTCTAGAAGCATCAATGGCAGAATGATTTAGTTCAAATTTTCTTTAAAGTTTCATGACACATAATGTAGAGATAGGGGCCAGGTAGAGGTCGTGAGCAGCAAACTGCCCTTCCAATGCCTGCGTGCCTCTTCTCTCTACATGATCTCATCCATTTACATCACCATGGCAATGTGGGAAACTACCCCAGGCTGATACAATGACATCACCTGGTTCACATGATATCAGCCAGGTTACATCAACAGGATGTGGTAGAAACTACTCCCTGGCTGGGCCTCCTGGCTGATATCTTCTTAAGGATTGGTAAGGAGTTTAACCAATGAAATGCTATTGCTACGCTATTGCTATGTTAAACTTTTGCTGCTTGGAAAACTGTATAAAAGAATAAACGCTGCAAAGGCGGTCAGCCATATTTGCACCCTTGCAATGACTGGACACTGATTACTACAACATAAATTGGCCTTTTCACTTCCCAATATGGTTCTGTTTTCCAGGGGAAAGCAAACTAAAATCTCACCTCATCAGAAACATAACAATTAAGAATATACAAAGCAGACTAACTGGTTCCTGAACTATTATCTTGTTCCCTGGGATCTTGTATTTCCCTCTAGATTCTGTGCATGCTCTGTTTTCCAAAGCAGAGGTTTCAACAAGAAAGTTGCAACATCACACTTATTTTGATCCTGTCTAATGTGCAGATTGACTTATGTCTAGGTGTCCCTGATTATAATTTAACTATCATTTTCTTGGATCAGTCCATTTTTTGTGTCTGGAGGAGACCATTGAGAACCAGGTGTTGCAGGGATTTAGTGTATGGTGCATAACTGGTTTTTTAAAAAGGCAAATTTTATATTCTGGAATTCTCCTTAACTTGCTACATGTTCATATGTCACACATCTTCCATAATTAGAGCCAATTATTTTCTTTTGTGAAAGTTTTTCTGCATAGAAATATACATAATTTTTGAACTGCAGATTGTCTACAGATGAGTTGAGAAGAAGAGGCAAGACGTTCCAACTATTTGGTGGCTTGGTTGAAGCTGCCGACAATAGAAAGACCTAAAATGTTTTCTTTTGTCTTCTGATTAGTTTGTCTGAGGAAGAAAACAAAATTCTGTAATAGATCATATCTGCCTGAATTTTTTGACTAAAAGGAGTTTATGTAGCATATTCCTCCTGTTTTAAAACAGTTTCTCCCCTCCCTTCCCACGTTCTTTTTTTAGTTCAAACTTCTTATGGAACATTTGGATCCTGATGAAGAGGAAGAAGACGGGGAAGTATCAGCAAGCACAAATGCTCGCAACAAAGCTATTACCTCGCTGCTCGGAGGTGGCAGCCCTAGGAACAATGCAGCTGAGACAGAGGAGGATGAGAGTGATGGGGAGGATAGAGGAGGAGGCACTTCAGGGGTGAGGCGGAGGAGGAGTCAACGTATTTCGCAGCGTATTACGTAAAATGATTTTATGTGCTTATAAATGTCAGTCTATAATAAAATGTACATTGAGTAATGTAATGCATATAAAAATTGTAGATAGAAATTCTTAACCGTTTATACAACTTTTTGTAGAAAGTTTTAACAAAAACAATAAAAACATAGAGATTATATCTAGTATAAAAAATTTCCTTTGGAATGTATTGTGTGTAACCTTTTTATTGTTGCCAAGTTTTTATGTAGCTTTATGATTCATTTGTATATATAATTTTATATATCAATAAGAGTTTAAAGAGACGGGTACAAATTAAAATATGTGATTTTTGCAAGGATATGTTAACCCCTTGGCGCTGGCGGTCGCGTCTCATTGCCGGCAATGGAATGTGTGCCGGAAAATCCCAACTCCCGGCGTCAAGGGATTAAAAGCAATAAAAGCAATAATTTCAATCAAGTTCTTTTGTGTAACACTTGGTCTTTTTTCCCCTCCAATGTTTTAGTCATTGAGAAGGTCAAAACGAAATTCAGACTCTACGGAGTTGGCAGCACAGATGAATGAAAGTGTTGATGTCATGGATGTCATCGCTATTTGCTGTCCAAAGTACAAAGATCGACCACAAATTGCAAGAGTAGTGCAGAAAACCAGCAATGGCTTCAGTGTTCAATGGATGGCAGGCTCCTACAGTGGCTCCTGGACTGAGGCTAAGCGCCGTGATGGCCGCAAACTGGTGCCTTGGGTAGACACTATCAAAGAGTCAGACATTATTTACAAAAAAATTGCTCTAACGAGTGCTAATAAGCTGACTAATAAAGTGGTTCAGACTTTACGATCGCTGTATGCCGCCAAGGATGGAACTTCCAGCTAATGCATTTGTACACATGCAGCCAAATTTTACAGGAAAGAACAGAAAAAAAACTTGAAATTACCAACTTTCTGGCAAAAAAAAAATCAATTTAATGAAGAGTAAGAATGACACCTGGGATGCAGGAAACAGAAGGAAATGTTTGGTAAACATTTTTGTGGGAGCTTCCTTCGCTGTTGTGCAGCAGAAACTTCTCAGTTCATTTTTACTCCCACTGTATAATAGTTTAATGAAAAAAATGTTTATATCTTGAAAAAAAACCCTTTCTGTTTAAAAAAAAATAAACAAGTGAATGTTGGAAATTAGTCTGTTAATGTTCTTAATAAAGTGTTCTTGGAGTTTAACCTAGCAGCGGATGGCTTTCTTTAGCTTAGCCCAGTTTCAAGGAAAGCATCGTTTTTCCAGGCTGTAAAATGGCAGAATTTCCTGGATATATAATTTATTCTGTTGGGGGAAAAAGCATGCAGTATCTATGACCTACCTGCAGGAGGAGTTTTTGTAAATGTAGATTTTTGATGTATTAGGTCACCCTGAAATAATACAAGAAAAGGGATCCCCAGCAAATCTGGTGGAACGAATACTGCAATAAATTTTTTTACTTCTCTTTGTTACTTGTCTGTTTCCATTTGAATTTCTTATTGTAAAGATCTGTTTAAATCCATTTATATTATTTTCCAGTCTTTTATGTAAAATTTACTATATCAGTGGTTTTCAAAGCAAGACATAAATATTGTTTATACAGTTTGTATAGGCTGATTTCTGAATAATTGGTATCTTTATCCCTTACAAGGGTGTAAACACAAGTTAACTCCAGGGTTTTATTGTATCCTGCAATATTTAGTATTAACTATATATGATTTAGCACTGTGCCAAACACATTTTCAAGAGTACATTTTGATATAAAAAGAAACTATAGTTTATTTCTTGTATGCTTCAATTTCTTTCTAATGCTGTTCATATGGCAATGTTTAAAACTTAGGGAAAAAACATCACTCTGTTCTCAGTAAAGAAACATGTATATTTCATTAGGACATCTGAGTGCATTACACTAGGACATAATGTGCAAAGGCATCTCCTGAATGATGGTGCGCCTGTATTCTGTTGTTGGTTATTATGATCCAAGTGGTACTCCCGTACTGAATCAGTTGGAGCCTGCAAATGTCAGGAATCAATGTGGATTTGTAACTTATAGTTGCATTAACTTAACCATTTTAAATGATTTTTTTAAAAAGCTGGACAGAAATGGCTGTATTATAGATAGGGTTTTTTAATTACTTGAAATCTGTTTTCATCTTTTATACACTGAAAATGCTATTTTAAATTGTCTCTGGAGTGGTGCTTCAATGTGTACTGTCACCATTCTTTCAGCTGTTCTATTTCTGGATAATAACACAAAGATAATTTTTACATATTGACAAAAGCAGAAGAAATGAATAGCATAATAATTAGCAAATAACTATTTTAAAGTCTACATTTTATTTAAAAGTGGATGTTCATCAAAGATTTTAGATGCATTCAATTCAATTATAAAATTAATATATGGTGGGGTGTGTTTTTATTACATTACAGAATTCTAGTGTGTTACTTGATCTGTAGGAAACAGTAACACAATATTCAAATTCATTATCTTGTACAGAATTGAAAAATTAAACTGACATGACTAATAATTTTCAGAATCTAATTGCTCTATGAAATATTTTTCATTTCCTCTTCTTTGTCTTAATTGCTGCAAATATTTCTGGGCAAAATTGATTTTTAAGACTGTGAAAGCAAACACTGTCCTGCATTCATGCAATTATTATATTTTGCCTAATTCTTTTTTGTACAATACTGGCAGTTAATAGTCACTCAATTACTCCCTGGGTATCTACAAATTGATTTTATTATGTTCTATTTTACCAGAAAATTAATCACGTAGCTCCATATTAATTGCTGTGAAATACACTAAAGAGAATAAGAATTTCTTGATAGTGCGTTACATGAAGAATTAACCCTATTCCTTAGGGTGATGGGCCCAAAATGTATGTAAATTTAAAAAAAAAAAAAAACATGGGGGGAGGCAGTTCAGAGAAGTTCCAAAGAAGCAGAATTGCTCTTGGTGGTTAGTAAATTCCATTTCTAATTTCTATGTTGAGGATTCCAGTTCCTTCCACTGTTTCATATTACATAAATAGATGCAACTTTTTTTGCCCCATAAACACATGGTTGTTGTTTGTAGATTGAATCTTTCTGCTGAACTAGAACATTTTAGAAAGGGATATTCCTAAATGCCAATAGTGAGATGGGCAGCATACATATTTAATAAATAAATTAGCAAGCCAAACACATTTGAAGTGGACATGATTGTTGGCTTTGCCATCCCATATATCAGTATATTATAAAAAATAAGTTATTCATTCTGCTCGACATCCAACAGTCATTATAGTGGGGATGGATTCAGTTGAATGGGATTGAGTCCTAAAAACTACATTTTTAATATAATTAGCTACATGCCCTCAGCCGGGAGTTTGTCCATTATTGTACATGTGCAGAATCTTTTATGAGTGGGTTGCCATTAAGGTTGAAATTATAACATTATCCCAAAAGGGATGGCAACAAATAAACCCAGAGTTAAATGGTGAAAAAGTTAAAACTGTTGCTGGCACAGTCATATCAAAGCAGAGAAGAGAGCATGTTCTTGCTGCACATCTTTTAGTACCTTCTCCTTTGTGGCAGGGGAGATACTTGATACTGCACCCAAGTCTTCAAGAACTCTGAAATTTAATTTCAACTTTTGCAGTCACCTAATCACAATTTACCCACTTGGTCATATTACTCTCACTAAATATCTGCCCAATTGCCCTCAATCACTTGTTCTCCCAGCTCAGCTGGGTGATAAGACTCTAAATGGATAGTTAAATATAGGCTTGGACTTGATATGTGTGACTATAGCCATCCATACTCTCCTCTCTCAACTCTATGTGGTTTCCGAAAAACTTAAAAGTTTGAAACTGGTTAATTCTGAGTTAAGAACTGGCAAATATCAAATCAAAAGTCTAATAAAGTGAGGTCTATGATTTCTCTTGTTCAGAATCCTGTAGATATATTCCTTCTGTAATATTTATTATAGTTGTTTTCAATCAGTTAATTATCTCATTTTCAATCAAAGCCAACAAATATATTTTCTTTAAGAGTTCTAGATTTTCATACAGGTGAAACTCGAAAAATTAGAATATCGTGCAAAAGTTCATTTATTTCAGTAATGCAACTTAAAAGGTGAAACTAATATATGAGATAGACTCATTACATGCAAAGCAAGATAGTTCAAGCCATGATTTGTCATAATTGTGATGATTGTGGCTTACAGCTCATGAAAACCCCAAATCCACAATCTCAGAAAATTAGAATATTACATGCAATCAATAAAACAAGGATTGTACATAGAACAATATCGGACCTCTGAAAAGTATAAGCATGCATATGTATTCAATACTTGGTTTGGGCCCCTTTTGCAGCAATTACTGCCTCGATGCGGCGTGGCATGGAAGCTATCAGCCTGTGGCACTGCTGAGGTGTTATGGAAAACCAGGATGCTTCAATAGCGGCCTTCAGCTCTTCTGCATTGTTCGGTCTCATGTCTCTCATCTTTCTCTTGGCAATGCTCTATAGATTCTCTATGGGGTTCAGGTCAGATGAGGTTGCTGGCCAATCAAGCACAGGAACCCTTTGCAGATGTTATGGCTTAATTAGCTGATTAGAGTGGGACACTTTGAGCCTAGAATATTGAACCTTTACACAATATTCTAATTTTCTGAGATTGTGGATTTGGGGTTTTCATGAGCTGTAAGCCATAATCATCTCAATTATGACACATCACGGCTTGAACTATCTTGCTTTGCATGTAATGAGTCTATCTCATATATTAGGTTCACCTTTTAAGTTGCATTACTGGAATAAATGAACTTTTGCAGGATATTCTAATTTTTCGAGTTTCACCTGTATGTTTCATGGAAATTTGAAATCCAATTTTAATTTCTTACCCATCTTGAGGGAATTATAGCTGGGTCTAAGGGTGATTATAGATGAGCCCACAAGGGTACATATTTTAATATTTTCATTGCAAAACATTACTGAAGTTAACAAATCAAAGTTTAAAATCTGTAAAGTTAAAACCACTATTACTATATGAAAATCATAGTTTTAAGAGAAATCATTGGAGTTTGTCCATTCCATTAAATATATAATCATTCTTAGCAGTTTGATGTACTAGCTGGAATTAACATAAATAATGCTTTCTAGATATGCATCTATAGGCACGTTAATCCACCCTATACAGGTAGTCCTTGACTTACAACCATTTGTTTAGTGACCAAAGTTATAATGGCACTGAAAAAAGTGACTTACAACAAGTTCTTCCACCTATAAGTGCTGCAGCATCCCCAGTCACGTGATGAAAATGAGTAACTTGGCAACCAGCATGCATTTGATGGTTGCAGGGTCATGTGATCACATCTGTAACCTTCCCAGCTAGCTTCTAACAAAGTCAATGGGGGAAGCCAGATTCGCTTAACAACTGCATGATTCATTTAACAACTGCAAAAGGTTACGGTTTGCTATACAAACTCAACAATTGCCTTGTTTAGCAGTAAACATATGGTTCCAATTGTGATCGTAAGTTGAGGACTACCTGTATTTATCCTACAGATTCATAAGTATTTTCCATGTCTTAATATAGGTAGTCCTCACCAAACTCAACTGGGGCCAGCAACTCTGTTGCTACGTAATGTCATAAATGTTATGACTGCATTTAATTTTGTCAGTAAGTCATTAAGTGCAACATGTTAGTGACTTCCCCACTAACTTTGCTTGTGGAAAATTGGCTGTGAATGTATCAAATGTATCACATGAATGTATCATGTGACTGCAGGATGCTGTGCCTGTCATGAATGCATGCCAGTTGCCAAGTATCCCAGTCACCATCACATGACTCCAAGAACATAACAGCTGCAAGCTCAAGGACTGATCATAACTATCCTTTTCAGCACCCTGGTAATTGATCATTGAACAAGCAGAGAACTATTTATTTCTCTGTCCATGCTCTACACCACGGGTATCAAACTCAATTGCGTCACATGACATATTGTAACTTTTTTTCCTTTGTGGAGCCGGTGTAAGCGTGGCCTGCACATGACACATCTGGCCTATGGGCCGCCAGTTTGATAACCCTGCTCTACACCTTTTTACTACATAAGAGTGTTTTTGTAATAGTAATAGTATAAGACGAAGAAGGAAAAAAAATCATAATTTTTACATGCTTCCATAGATAGCTTATTACCAATATGTTAAATATTTGATTCATTCTAATATATTCCATATCTAGAGCATTGCTGTACAGATAAAAGATGTGATCATGATTTACAATGTTACATATCTTGGTATCACAACGTGCATTCCATCCTGTTGTCTGAATCTCCGGAATGCCACCAGATTATCCAATTAAGCACTCTAAAAGTTCTTGCACCCCATTAAAATATAATAGGGGCTTCCTTATTTACAAATCTCATCTTAATTGCAAAAGGAATAATCTCACTAGTAATTGAGTGAAAAGATTAGAGTTCATTTTGTTACCAAACATTGTAGGAGGAGAAGCATTTAGTTTACAATAGTCCAATCTGGTTAATGCCTGCTCAAGCTAACCAATGTTATGAAAAGGCATCAGCTTTTGTGAGTGATAGTTTGCTTGATCAGAATCCTCTTCCACCATTGTTTGGAGGCACAGAGATATTAGATAAGAAATGAAGTAAACATTAGAAACTCAAAGTGGCTTCACTCTAATTCCCATAGATATAAGAGGGTGGGGAGGCTTTCAAGATTGTTACTATAGCCTATATTAGTCCAGGAGGGAGAGTTCCAGTCATTCTTAGGGGTCTGTTTCCTTATCTGGCCTACCTCAAAGAACCAGCTACCTTCCAAGGGAGCATTTCTGGTGTGTGAGAAAGGACACCCAAACTTGGAGCCGGAACATGACTTTATGATAAATTGTAACACTGGCAAATTTGCAAAATGAGTATATGAAATACCTGTTATTTTCTTAATTTGAGCGTAAATATTTATCCACTCAGAACATTTCAATATCTTGCATTTTAAAAGAACAACTCAAAATGATTTGAAGGTTCTGATGGAAGATATATTCAGAAAATTTCAAGTATTCCACCAATATGAATATTAGGAACTAAAAACAAGCCCCTTATATCCTCATTTTCATCTTAAGGTTAAAGGTAGATATGCTATTACTCAATGCAGAGTGCTTTCTATCAGCCATCCTAATAAAACACATCACCAAGAGAATGATTTAAAAAATGAAACCGTTTTAAATATTCACATAGCAAAAGAGGCAACATATTTTTAAGGCCTGATCATCTCTCACAAGCTACCCAAAAGTAACACAGCAAGGATACTGGATATCAGCAACTCTTTCAAAACAAACTTGATGTTATACAAACTAATCAAACATAAGCAAACAAACAAACCAAACATTTTATTATAAGAATATTTAAATGTTCATTGTTTTAAGCAAGATTCATTGAAATCAAGATGCAAGCCTGGTCATCTAAACATCCTTAGGACCTTGTTTGTCAGATTTATTAAACATCTATATACTCTACAAATTCTAAAATGCCATCGTGTGGAACATCACCTTGTGTTTCAAATCATTCTGAAGGTAATCATTTAAAAAAAAATTTCCTTGAATTTTTCTGTAACATTATGCATTATTTCCTGAATGGATGAATGCTGGCCCTTGATGTTACTTGTGGACATTGCTTGATTGTCTTCCAACTTCACCATCAATTATTCATTTACATATTCCACTTAATGACATTTTAAAGACCAGAACAGGCTAGATACAGTTTTACTTCTCCACATTTGCTACCATAGCCTCTATGGAATTCCAATCTAGCTTGCTAAGGATGCTGCTGGTACTTTCACTCACACTGTCAATATTATTAAGACTGGCAATCGAGCAAGCATCTTCTGTAAGTGATTCCTGGAGAGAGAAAGAGAAGCATGATGGAGATAAGAAGAGGTCCAGTCAAGAGATCTTCTCAAGGCCAAAAAAATGTTTTCCCCCTTGTGTTAAAATTAGGCCAGCTATTAGTACAGTATATGATTAACAAAAAGCCTTAATATTTGATCTCTGTTGGAAACCATTCGTTGGCCCCACACTTTCCTTGCTTTCTATTTCTGTGGCTCATAGTCACCAGTTTCTTATAGTACTATCTCCAACGGATGCATCTGCCTGTGCCTTACTGAAGTGAAGTTTTTATATAGTACAACAGTGATTCATTTGGAGGCTTAAGCTTTTCTCGTCTTCCCCTTCTATTCTGCCTCCTCAAAATCTTATAAAAACACAGCACAGTAACAGTGGAGGACACTGGAAAGACCTTCCATCTAAGTTTTTGGAAAGGCTGGATATCCTTCTTACAGCATGGCCCACTGGCATCCTGGAAGATGATTCTGCCCACCTCAAAAGTTGTTGGAGCTTCAGATATGAAGTCTTTTCATATTTTTAAGGAGCACCCTCTTTTTTAGCCCTGAGACTATAGTCCTATTTTTTTTTTGGGGGGGGGGGAGTAGAAGAGTAACAAGAATTTATCAATTCCAAAACTAGACTTGGGCTCAAACGTTAACATATGAAAAGGCACTGTAAACAATAAGAATCTAACCCTTCTCCCAGGAGAGTCATAAATACCACATAAAATGAAGACACAAACAAGTAACTATTCCAGAGCCATAGCCTGATTTGTACTAACTACTTCTGCTGTCCCCACCTTGCTGAAATGTGCATTAGGTGTGCCATACAGTATTTGCTGGATCTCTTCAGGGACACTCCAACCACTCACTGTATTGTCTTCAGTCTCTTCAGTGGTCTGAGATGTCATACTAGAAGTGAAGAGTCTTTTCTCATTCATTGACTCTCTTGTCTGATCAGAAGCTGGAGGGGAACAATTTTTAACAAAATTTTGTATTTTAGTTTATTTAAATTTGTTACTATTTAAGTATTCAGTAGAATGGACCTGAATTTTGAATCCCATTGGATAAAAGATCAGGTCAGTTTTAGTTCTGCTTTTTATCTCTTAAAAGTATCTAAAAGGGACCTTCTTGGTAAGCATTTACTCCACCATAGTTGATCTTGGTCTCTATCATACACCTGTTATCAATGAGAAAGACAGAGTGTCAAGGTTCCAACTGATGAACCCAATGAAGTAAGCATAGCAGAGATGATCCAATCTCTAATGCAAAACTTTATTGAGCAAATCATTTCAGCATGGATGAAAGGCAAACCAGCTCTGACTATTTTGCGCCCAAATTGCGATATTAAAAAGAGAGAAACCTCCCTCCACTCATTAGTGCAGATCATGTTACGCAATTAAACTTCAGACAATTATTATGAGAGAAAGTCTTTGGTTTTCAGTAAACAAAATCTTGAATGACCTTGGTTCTCAGGCTTGCAGCTTCACACCTGCAATCCACATTCCATTGTTCCCCTCTGCCCTCTGAGTCTGTAGGCAAGCCAAGAAACAGAAATGGCTGAAGCAGCATGAGGTTTCTTTGAGCTTGACCCAGAGGACCCCACAATAGTGCTAAATATCTCATGGCTTCTCCTCCCAGCTTCAATTTCCTAACACAAAAGGACTGCAAGAATACCTGAAGCTACTCTTGGCTTGAACACGAATGGTGGGAAGCTCACTATCAAGGATAGTAACAACTATTAATCTAAATTCTCCTGTCCCTTGATATATATGTGACCAAGTTGGGATCCTTTTCATTCAGGTATGGGGCATCAAGAAGGCAATAGTATATGTTCCTCCTTCATGTCCATCAAAAGAAGACTAACATGAGCTTCAAAACAGTGTTCTGTCTCACTAAATTATTACTGGCCATAATATTGGGACAGTATATTTTCCCTCAGACATTCATCAGCTCAGAAAAAGGAAAAATGTGTACAGGTCTTACACAGAATTTAGAATAGCTGCCAATTTCTGGATTACAGTTATTGCTTGCAGAAAAGATTTTAAAAGCTCTCTCCAACAGTGGTGACTCTCTTCAATGAGGATTACAATGTAGGGAACCCTCCCACCCCCAAGCTCTGGAAAGCATTCCAACTAAAAGAAGAGAGGAAGACTTTTATACTGTAAGTTTTGCCAATGATCTCTTTAGACAAGTTTTGACTTTTTCAGAACATGAGATAAAGGCCTTCTGTGAGCTACCTAAGTTCACCTAATGACTGAATTTGTACTAAATTACCACTAAAATACTCAAAGCAGGTGAGCAAGAAAAGTTAAAATCTGAAAAAAGTTCAATCACTATGAATTAATCCAAACTGAAAAAGCCTAGCAACAGAAGGTCTTTCTCCAAAAACAGAAGGCATCTAAAGCAGTGGTTCTCAACCTTTTTAATGCCGCGACCCCCAACTGGTCGTAAGTCGAGGACTACTCAACTGGTCGTAAGTCGAGGACTACTCAACTGGTGCAGCACCATTTGCAGAATGGGACTTTTGGCGGGCTCAGCAGGGCAGAGACAGCCTGGACAATTCCTATTGGCTTTTGAAAACCAATAGAATTAGACTCTATTCAAGAGAGTCTATTCTATTGGCTTTCAAAGGCCAATAGAATAAAAGGGAGTAGCACAGCTAAGGAAAAGGGGAAAAAAATGGCGGACTGCATTGTTTGGCGACCCCCGTGAAATGGTCGTTCGACCCCAAATGGGGTCCCGACCCACAGGTTGAGAACCACTGATCTAAAGGGACCATGGAGATGAGAGCCAATGAAAAGCATTGAGTTTTATGCAATGAATAGCACTGAGTTTTATGCAACAGACCATGGTTTCTCAGGTCCAGCCTGCTACTCGTCCATTGCCTCTGGTTTCTACTGCTTTTCCCATATGCTTCACCTTGATGGGATTCTAGTGACATTCTTCTGTACGGAGTTTGGCAGAGTCGACCTTAAGCAAAAAAGACAACAAAACCATTCCTTTCACATTATGGATTATAAACTTCAAACTAAATTACCAGATTACAATTCAGTATGATCTAGCGATCTTTATTATCTTCAGCACGGCAGAAGCTTAAGAGTTTTTTTGCTATATATTTCTGTTTGCATCACCCTAAAATTTCAAGGCTCTATTGAAATGGAATTAATGTTCCATTTCTCCATAAAGCTTGTTTGCTTATTTCTTTAAACATTTATGATGCAAAATGTTAAGTGTAAAACATTACAGTCTAAAAATGCTCCATGCACTTTGTACCGAATATTTGATATCTGGTATGATAACGCAGATCTTTGTTTCTTACCCTTTTTACGAGTTGTGTCACAAGACAGACTTGAAAGGGATCTTGTTGCACCCAAACCAACTTTGGCAAATGGCTTGCTCCTCCCATGGAAACTTCAATAAAAATATATCATATTTTTATTATTGCAATAATTATTCTAGAACTTTTTAAAAATACATATACTGGAATATATGGGCTGATCGCAAGGCAAAGGACGAGGCACAAATGATTGCAGCCAGGTGTCAGCAGACAGTTTTAGGTAGCTGCTTTGCCTGCAAGCTTTGTTGGAATCCTAGTTTGTGACTTTTGTTCCTCTTTCTTGTTTGTGGCCCTTTGATTGCCTGACTACCTAATTTGGCTTTCTGTGACTCTTGGAATGTATTGGACTATGCTACTGCTCTTTGGACTGTACTGGCATTTTTCAGGCAACCATTTTTTGCTAGAATTTGAATTACATTCCTGTTGACTGCAAACTGTTTAATCCGTAGTGAATATTTCAGCTTCGGAATACTGTGTCTGCATCTGTGTGCCAGCAATTTTGAAACAGAATACCCAAAATATATTTGTTGACCATCCCTTGCTAAGATGCTGAACCACTGTGAAGTTAAAAGTTGAAATTAATGCTGTAATTTGGTAATATTGTTTTCTAGGAATAAAAGCAACTGTACTCAGTGGGACTTGTATCTGAGAAGCCTTCACAGTGTTGTCACATTGGTAAATCTGAGAATGAAGCAGGAAAATTAATGACAATATTACTTTAAACTACATTACCCTCCAGCAGAAGTGATGCGTGGCTGCTTAAAATCATAAGATGATTTTCTTCTAGACGATGGTTTATATTTACTGGAAGGGAGCTGCACAGTGTCAGACAGCAAGTCTTGCATCAGAGTGAGAGCTTCGTTGACTCTTAAGTTATGATGTTCGGATAGCAAAACCCTTCAGAGAAAGCAAATGGGCCAATTAGCTACTAATTGCTCAACAATTGCAGATTTTTTTTTAATAGACATCCTTTTTAGGTTCTTTAAAAGCAATCTAAGGTTGTCAGTACTCGGGAGAAAAGGAGACACATAAAAATATACTGGGTACAAGAAAAACATGCTACTAGAAGAAGTACAGGTAATTCTCGATTTATAACAGTTCATTTAGTGACCGTTCGAAGTTAGAACAGAACTTACAAAGGGACTTATGACCGTTTTTCACACCTATGACCGTTGCAGCATCCCCATGGTCACAGGATTCAAATTTAGATGCTTCGCAATTGGTTCATATTTATGATGGTTGCAGTGTACTGGGGTCATGTGACCGCTTTGTGCAGCCTTCTGACATACAATGTCAATGGGGAAGCCACATTCACTTAACAACTGCGTTACTTAAAACTGCAAGTGATTCACTTAACACATCTGTGGCAAGAAAGGTCGTAAAATGGAGCAAAATTCATTTAACAACTGTCTTACTTAGCAACAAAAATTTTGAGCTCAATTGTGGTCATAAAGTTTAGGACTATCTGTAATCTATAAAGGACTGTATGAAAGAGACATTATTCTGATTTTGTCTCTTCTGCTTCCATGTAACAAACAAGATCAGAGACAAGAGGACTAAAAATATCAAATACTTTAGTACCAACAAAAGTGGCTGAGGAAAATCTGTAGTTTATTTTGTCAGGTTTGCATCACTGATACATGTTCTCTTAAAATATAGAAACATGCCAAACAATATGGAATTTGGAATTCCCAAAAGATTCAAGTCTATAGCAGAATGAATTTACCCACAGAATGAATACAGTAGAATTGTTTCCCAGTGTCCCCAACACAAGGTTTCTCTTTCAACTGGTTTTATCAGTTCTACTCAAAATTTTCTCAATATTTTCATTCATGTTATCCCTGGGGCACAGAATACTTCATCCTAGAATTATTTCATTCAATTATTATAAAATTTGACAGACCAGTGAAAGATATATGGTGAAATGTAGATAATTTTACACTTAACAGCTCAATTGCCACATACAGTGGATTAAGAGTCTAGAAAGCTCCTGAAAATAACATACTTATCTTTCTCCTTCTTCTTTTTCTGTTGTAATTTAATCTCTCGCGTTGACAGTCCAAGGGCCTATCAAAAATTGCAAGCAGATATCAATGTTATATCAGTTATCTGGTCTGCATTATTAACTGTTCTAGTTGAGAGCTGAAGAAGCTTAATATTATTCTCAGGAAATTTACTGATGAAATGCTTACTGTTTATTACATGCATTGCCAGATTCTGCTCTGTAACAATTCACATTTGAAAACAAGGGTATGAGTAATTTTATAGAGAAATATTTTTTAAATATATTTTTAATTGACCTATTTTTAAATCATTTTTTCAGCCTTTAGAGTCCCTGTTCCTTTGGTCCATACTCTTAGCATTAAGATGTGTTTATAGAGGTTTTAGTATTATACCATTGGGCTAGCAATGGTATAATACTAGCAATTTAGTTACAGTATTTTATCTCCCTTACAAGTGAAAGTGTTATTATTGAAATGGATGTAATTTTTCCTGATTGTGCTTTATGTTGGACTATGATTAAAATAAACATTTGATTCCTAAAGAAAAGTTCATTTTTTAACCATCAAGATTATATTTTTAAGTTTCCCTTGTCCTTAGAGTCGATAATTTCCAGCTGTTTAATGTTATTGTTTCATCCAGCAGAATTTTCCATCATGGTCTTGCAGAGATTTTAAAACATCATAAGGATTTTAGCAGTCTAAAGTCTCCTGGCACGGCCTATTCTTCCTGGACAACAGCCATTCCCCCTGAATCATGCTGTCAAAGATTGAGACCTAGAGAAATGTTGAATGACTCTCGCTTAGGTTTCTATAGATGATGGATGCATTTGAAGAATCCAGGGTTTTAAACTGCAAATCATAAGATAATGTTTCTTATGAGTTATGGTTTCTTCTTTGCCAAATGGAAGGGGGGAAATTGATGTTCCCATCTTCTCAGAATTAGCTAGAAGACTGTGGCCTTTGAGAATGGAGATGTCCATGAGAAATATCCCCTTTACTCTCTGCTTAAGCAAACAGGGCCATCCACCTCCACTATAAGAAATGCCTGGACTCAAGGTTAACTTAGGTGCTGTACCAGGGAGACAAGCACACTGCAGCATACTAAATTCTGAGGGATAATGTACCAATATACCACAGGTGAATGAGAACTCTCCAATTTTGGAGGGGCTATGTGCACAATTTGGATCTTTAAGGAATATCCATATCTCAGGTGCCACCAAAATTAACTACTGTGAGGAAGGTGATCCAACTGCAAGATGGTGGAATCAAAATCTTTTCTCTACACATAGAAGTGTTACACATCTTTCAATCTTCCACCTATGCTCCATTTCTGATTCCTTTCTCCCCACCTTCCCGGATATCTGCTACATTGTTTTCCCTCCCAAACCCCCATAGCTCAGGTTCTGTTTTTTTTAATACCCTTCCATGAATTCCTCACCTCCCATAGCTTTTTATACTATTTCTGTTTTTTATACTATTTCTTTTACTTATTTAATCAGATAAAAACAGCTCCTCCCCTATATGTCTTTTTGCTTGCTTGTTTTTGACAGCTGGATGCACTGCATAACAAAATTATGCCTTGAAGTCCCCATCCATCTTTTTCCTTTGAAATATCTGAGTCTACATGAGATCCAGAAGTATTACGTAGAAATAAATAAAAATGGTGGCTGGAGGCTAGAAATTTCCAGTGGAACACTGTAATTTTCTTTTTTTTTTAGGAATTTACAGTGGGTAAATTCATGTTCTAGAATTGTTATTATTATTCATCTTCATATTTCTTCTCACACTTGACTTTATAATTGATATGCCATGTTTTTGAATAGGTCACCATTCAGATTTAGAAATACAACTTTATAACAGGGAGATTAATATTGATAAAATTCCTTCTTTTAATGTACTTTAACAATTAAACGCAAATAGCCTTACCATCTTTCTCAAATGGAATGGATTGTGCTCTTTTGCCCGTTTTTCAGACAGTGTTTGCATATATTCAGCAAGTCTCTGTTTTCGTTTTCTTTTCATCCAAGCATGTAACTCTTTTTTATCCTTCTCAGCTTTATATGTCTGCTTACATGGTATATTTGAAAGACTGAAATAACAAAGTCAGACTCTATAACATTATTTTTTTTACATCATGATTCTTAACTAAGATAGGAGTAGATACCTTTGAGCACATTTTGCTACCAAATATTCAATGCCTCTAAAATCATGCAGTGGAAATGAATTATTTCAGAAGTTGGTAAGGCCATTGTTATTTAAGGGGGGGAAAACCAAGTCAAAGTAAAAATATTACAAACTGCTGTAATTTACTGGAAAAAAATATGACTACAATTCATACATAAAGTGTTCTTTTCTCCCTTTTTCTATTGTCATTTAGAGATAAACATTAGTTCCAATTATTTAACTGACTGGTGGAAATCCTAAATGTGGAAGCTAGCAACTCCATCTGCCCATGCATATTGATCAATTCATAGTCTGTTTGTCATCAGATAGGTGAGCATCTCTATTCGGAATCAACAGCCACTACACAGTTAAAGTTGAAAGTGACTCTTTAGATATCAAGACACAAAGATAGGTGTAATTACAATGAAGCTGCTTTCTTCATGTGTATATACGTAACAAGAATGACTACAGATGGTAAATTATCAAATCTTTACTCCTAGGTGCATCATACAACCTGACATTTGCAACACAGCATCATCGGTATGTAGATCAAAGTTATTAAAAGTATCAATATAATATTACCTGGCCATTTTTCTAGCTTGAGTTTCTGTAAGGCCCAGCTCTGAAGGAGAAACACCATTCTCCACTATAAGATCATTAATAATGTCCAAAACATCACTCAAGCCAGTGATTCGAAGGCGATCTTCTGAACATCTATCGAAAAAAATTAAAATTGCTGCAAACTGGAAAGCTACTTTTAAAAATACACAGAGATCCAATAACACTACAATAACTCTAAATCTTTACATAAAAATAATAACTGAAATATAAGGACACATGCTATGAATATTCAAGTATAGGCAAAAGATGGGTTTTAGTAATTTTCTTACGCTACAGGTCATCCTTGCTTAACGTCTATTCATCCAGTGATCATTCGGACTTACAACGGCACTGAACAAATCGTTGTTAAGGGTGTTACAGTGCCCAATCAGTCACACCATCAGAATTCAGGATCTTGGTAACCAGCCTGCATCAACAACCATAGCGTGGACTTCAGCTCTATCAATCATCTCTTTCTTCTATCATCTCTGTCTTTTTGGCAGCCCTGCACATTTCTGTGACCTACTCAACCCCCCCCCCCACGACATTTGCCATCTTCTTCCACCTCTGACTTGGAATCCAGGGCCTAGGCATAGGCACAGTCCTGGGATGCACAGGGTGAGCTTGGCAAGGCAGCCGAACCTGATCTGCCAAAGGGAACTCACTAGGCCTTGCTGGGGAAGAGGCAGGGGGACAGAACCAGCAGACCATACAGGGCAGGAGAAGCATAAGGGCTGCTGCAGGCAGGCCTCTAATGTGCGGGTGGGCGAAAAAGTGGTGGGAGAGATTTCTGATTTCCTGCCAGCTTCTCCATTGCTCCCGATTGTGGAAAGTTGGAAAAATGTTAGAAATTATAAACACGTGACCATGACTTGCTGCAACGCCGTAATCACGAGTTGCGCATTGAGCATCCAGATCATGGTCCCATGACCGCAAGAAAGCAGTGATAGCTGGAATCTCTGAACTGATTACAAGTCCCCCTCATTCAGTGTCATCATAACTCTGAATGGTTGCTGAACAAGTAGTTGTATCCTAAGTCAAATTTGGCTCTTCAATAAAAACTTTAGTAAATATCTATAATCTCTATAAAAGAACTTCTTCCTATAATTTTGAAATCTGCCACTAAGTAGAGGATAGAATTTATTTTCAAAACTGGTATACTGATAGCGAAGTGATAGGAAAGTTTCCCAATATGATTCTTCCCACTTCAGTAAATGCTTCTGAAATATTTTCTCATACATACCTCTCATCTTGTTCTTCCATTTTAAAACTAACATCTATAAAAAACAAAAAAACAGAAATCATCACTAACTTTTAGGGTTAATAAAAATAAACCAACTTTTAGCCTGGCTAAACATATAACAGCAAAATATTAATCACTCAAAATAATATTTCCTTTCCAATCAAGTCAAAGAATGTCATGGATCACTGACTGAGACTTCCTTATGCAATGTGCTGTAAAATAAATGGGCTGAGGCTATTACTATGACTGAGCCGTGGTGGTGCAGTGGTTAGAATGCAGTATTGCAGGCTAATAGGGCCGACTGCCAGCAGTTTGATTCTCACCGGCTCAAGGTTGACTCAGCCTTCCATCCTTCCGAGGTCAGTAAAATGAGGGCCCAGATTGTTGGGGGCCATATGCTGACTCTGTAAACTGCTTAGAGAGGGCTGTAGAGAACTGTGAAGCAGTGTATAAGTCTAATTGCTATTGCTACTTTGTTATAGTAAATATTGGCCCATAGAATTTAAAAAGCTCTTCTGTCATTTGATAAATAGACCAACCTTCAAGCCTTAATGTCAGATATCTTGTTCACAAACTGATACAAGATTACAACTTTTATATCACATGACCAGGGGGATGCTGCAACTGTCCCAAGTAGTAGTAGTAAAGTTGGAAGGGACCTTGGAGGTCATCTAGTCCAACCCCCTGCTCAGGCAGGAAACCCTACACCATTTCGGACAAATGGCTGTCCAGTCTCTTCTTAAAAACTTCCAGTGTTGGAGCATTTACTGCTTCTGGAGGCAAGCTGTTCCACTGATTAATTGTTCTCACTTCAGGAAGTTTCTCCTTAATTCTAGGTTGCTTCTCTCCTTGATTAGTTTCCACCCGTTGCTTCTTTTCATTTGATGCTAGCAAACTTCATGTTGTAATATAACATGGCTCTATGAAGACTTTGTGACAATGTAATCAAGTTGCAAGGCAAAGCAATTTTATAAAAGAAAACTATCCTGGGATATTTATATTATTTTCTCTAGTATATTTTATAAAAAAATTAGCAGGTTACAGAACGTAAATAACAAAACAGAAGATACCAAGTTGCTAATCTGGGCTACAGAGATGGAGACGGCCAGCCAGGAGAATCAGATTCATAGGTCAATATCATTCCTAGTACAGGTAGGATTGTCATCATTGTTAAATAAACCACCGTAGTTAAGGGAAACATGCAGCCATTAAAAAAGCTAGCTTCTCCCATTAACTCTGCTTGTTAGAAGCTCCCTAGGAAGGTTGCAAATGATAATTCAAGACCCCAAGATGCTGCAACCATTGTAAATACATGCCAGTTGCCAAGGATCCGAATTTTTCACAGGACTGTGTGGATGCTCTAATGATTTTAATGTGAAAACTGGGCATAAGTCCCTTTTTTCAGTATTGTTATAACTTTGAATGATTGCTAAACAAATAGCTGTAAGTTGAGTATTACCTGTATTTAAATAATAAATCAACAAAATAAAATACTAAGAAAAAATAATTTCATTCTCTTGAATTCTAAAGGCAGAAACTGGTAAAGAAGTTGCAGTTATAGAAGATCAACAAAAAATTAGTTGCAAACAAATGTGAGCTTTCATATCTCATATTTTTGAAAGAATTAAAGTGTTTCTACTCAAATTCCTGTTCAGCATACCTCACTGGTTCATGTTAAGTTTAGCAGCCTCAGAAAGCCATAAATATGGCTACAGTACATGAAATTATTATTTCAGAAATATTATGAGTATAGAGATTTCATTAAGTGGCAAAATCTAGCTGACCTCAACTGATGCCTCAAAGCTAAACACTATTGGATCTGATCAGAACTTGAAGAGGGCATTGCCAAGAAATCCCAAAGCTGTGAAGTAGACTGATAAGTCAAAGCCAACATCCAAAAAGAAAGTAACGACAAATTGTTCCTATACTGTTCTCAAAAAGACAACATGCACGTTTCTGCTGAGGACATTAGGAGTCAAGCTTGAATCAAAGATATCTTTATGAAGGCTGAATTATTATACACTTTCCAAATTTCAGAACTGTTAATTGATTCATGTAAAAATATGGATACATTATCAGTAAATAACATATTCTATAAACAATTAAAAAGATGTTTGCAAAATCATGAAATAAAATGCAAGAACCAAAAAAGAGTAGTACCAGAATACAGTTTGTTGACCCTGGGATGATCAGCGGCTGATACTGAAGGTGAAACAGAAGGTGTATTTAAGGCAATGAAATGATTTGGAGAAGATTCTGCTTCTAAGAAATCTTTCTCCTCCATAAAATTCTCCACTATTACACGGGTTGAGTAACGTTCTATTTTAACAGAAGAACAGAGTGAAACCAAAGTTAAAAGAAGTACAAAATAAAAAGATAGGCAACATTCAGGAGAGAAGCTGTGTTCCTCTCTTACAGCAAGTACAACAAAGCATTAATGGCAGATTTATTATGGCACTGAGGGGCTATGTTCCTTGGAAACTCAGGACATGCTTACTGATACCATCGTATCTTTAAAAAAAAATCAAGAGATTTCAGTAGCACAACAACTCTTTTATCAACTGCAGCTGTTACGTCAACTATCAGTCACACAAGATGAAAACAATTTGGCCACACTTAACGTCTACTGGTGGGTTCCCAAATTTCTGGGGTCCAAAACAGAGTTGTAAGACTTGCAATAGTGGCAAATATCTGTAGCTTGGGTGTAGGATGAGGGTGAAGGCTTGTTCTCCCAGCTTGTAGGTTGGTTTCTGGATGTTTTGTTACCAGGCTAGGTAACATCTTCAGTAGAGTTTAGGGGATGTCAGTGTTCTATTTATAAGGGCTTCAGGTGTGGGTGTGTCAAGTGAAGGTCTTGTGATGGGTCAAGTGTAAGTTATCAGTGAGAGGCTTGATACACCTTGAAGCCCTTATAAACAGAAGAGCACTGACACTGACATCCCCTAAACTCTGCTGAAGATGTTACCTAGCCTGGTAACGAAATGTTCAGAAAGCAACCCACAAGCTCGGAGAATAAATCTTCACCTCTCAGTTATAAGACTGCTGGTTAGAGTTCAAAGACTAAGTAACATTATAACCAGAATTAATCAATTTCTATACTCAGTTCCAGTTCTGGCTTTGATCTTTAAAATGTGTCCTAGGATTATGAACATTTATTCAACCATTTGTTCAGTTATGATTCTTATGACTGATCCTTCATGTTCCATCTGTCGGAAGATCTCTATGGTCATTTGATCATGATCAAGTGATTACTTGATTATAACAATCCACAATCACATGATTGTGATTTCTGACATTCCCTGCTCACTTTCCACAAGCAAAATCAATGGTGAAGCCTGCAGAAAATCGTAAGTTGTAATCATGTGAATTTAAGATCCCACGTCATCCTTGGGTTATGTTGACAACTGGGACTGCTCAAATTGCCGTTACTAAGTGATGCAGTCACATGACACTGTGATTTATGACTGCACAGCTTAGTGATGGAAATTCTGGTCCCAATTGCCATTGTAACCAAAGACCAGTCTTCTCTTCTTCCACATATATCTACTAAATCTACTCTATGGGTTCTTATTATGTAAAAGGAGATATACTCTGAATCACCTTTTCCTTTGCATATCTAATTGCCATGTAGCCATAATATCTTCAATCAGTAAGGCTCACCTGCTTTGCAAAGCTTAACTCCAGGTGCAAAGAACAATATGTCATTTTCTTCTTGATCAGATATCACATCTTTTATTGTTTCCCCAAACTGTAAAAAAGAGACACTTGTGACATGCAGCATTTCTCCCCTAAAATATTTATATAATAAACATTTGTCTAAGGCTATTATTTCAAGAGCATGTCTTTTCTGAGCATCAATTTCCCATTTCAATTAATATGATTCTAAGGTTGGCCCAAATATATTGAAAAAAAATACAACTGCGGCTGTTAATATTAAAAAGCCCCACTTTCTTTGCTGATTTTTGTTCACATTTGCAGACATTTCTTTTATAAATTAGAAAGTATATCTATGCTTTTAATACTGAGTTTATTACAGTTTATTATTTTTGTCACAATGAAAGTTTTAATAAAATTCTACACTTATATATTATTGCATCTGAATTTTTTTATAGAAATTGATTACAATTAATTAAAATTGATTACTGATCAATGAAGCATTGTTTTCAGTCTCAGTAAATTCATTTATACCCCTGCCTTTCATACAGTTTTCTAAGCAACTCACTACCAGACAGAAATCTTGTATCATATCAAAGACGTGTGCTTTCTTCTCCAGTTGAAAGTACATATACAGGTAATCCTTGACTTACAACAGTTCATTTAGTGACCATTCGAAGTTACAACGGCCCTGAAAAAAGTGAGCTAAGATCATTTTTCACACTTATGACCACTGCAGCATCCCTATGGTCACGTGATTTATATTCAGACGCTTGGCAACTGACTCACGTTTATGACAGTTGCAGTGTTCCAGAGTCATGTGATCCCCTTTTGCAACTTTCTGACAAGCAAAATGAATAAGGAAACCAGATTTACTTAGCAACTGTGTTACCAATGTAAGAACTGCAGTGATTCACATAACAAATCTGGCGAGAAAAGTCATAACATGGGGCAAAATTTACTAACAAATTTCTCACTTAACAATTAAAAACTTTGGGCTGTTGTTACAAGTTGAAGACTACCTGTAATTGTAATCTATTTAAATAGATATTCTGGAAGAGAAGGATTTAAACATTAGTAAGACCATGAACTGAAATATACCAATTTAGTAGTGCTGTATTCTTTCTCCATTCTTTCTGCCAAATTTTGTAAGTACGACAGCTGTCTATCCATTTCTTGTAGTTTTCCAGAAAAATGCCGTCTACTGATCTTTTGACCCAACTGTCCTGTGTAAATACTGGGAAAATCTTCACAAAGGAGATTTGAGGTAAGACGATCACCCGCAGTTTCTTCCTCTGTTATTCTTGGTGGTAGCAGAGACAATTCAATTTCGAGACTCTTTTCTTTCAATCAAAGAAAAAAAAGTGCAAAATATTTCCAAATGCAGCCAATTACAGGGTTTAATTAAAAGTCACAATAAAGTGTTATTTATCTACAAGCTCTCAGCATAAAGAGATACAGATGTTACGTTCCTGTATGAGGTTTTATATGACCCCTCCCCCCAGTGTTCCCCCGGGTACATTTTAAAATATTACAAAACAAAAATTGTAGATGTTTACCTTGTCTCTCAAACTCATCCAGGGGTAATGCACCGGTAACAGAGACTGCTGGATAATGCAGCTTTGTAGAAGCTGAGAATTCAGACTTCACAGGATGTGTGACAATAGGCTGTGCAGCAGGCTCAAATTTAACTGGCAAATTATTGAGAAGGTCACCAGCCTCTATATCGGTCACACTGATATATCTCTGTTCAGCCTACAGCATAGATTAAAAAACAAATAAACAAACCAAAAATTTTAGGTAGCAAACAATGTTAAACTAGTACATATTTATAAAACTGTATTGAGGAACTGAACCTCTCTTCCCGTAATTGACAATTTACTGAATAGACAGACTTATGACTGCATTTTCAGGAGACGTTTCTCATTGACTGACCAAATCAGATGAAGATGGCAAAGGTTTCTCTGTAGTTGTGCTCGCTGACTTAAAGTTGACATACAACTCTGGTGGCAAAGTCTGAGGAATGCAAGAAGGTAACAGTTCTAAAGAAGAAAAGAACATGGTTAAAAGTCACCCAAAGTAAGATGCCACTTGGAGAGCCGCAAAAGCTACTTGGAAAGATAAACAGTATTGTGACGAATACTGAAATGCAAAAAATGTAATTGCATAACAAGCCTTTTTCTTTTTAACACCTAAAACAAGGGTAAGCAAACTGATTTCTAAAGTCACGTGTGGTTCTTGAAACTCTTTTGTTAAGGCCCTTGAAGCATCTTACTTGTCGCTTAAAACTGATGGCATGATTTAATCACACTTAGAAGTCAGAAATACATGAACATACAAAAAAAAAAAAACCTGTGATGTAAGCCTTAAAATATATTTACTTAAAAACAAATGAGATTCGTTTTCCCAAATTATGAAAAAATACTAGAAAAATTTGCTTTTGGATAGTTGCTTCCTGGCTTCATCCACCATGACCTTTACCCTCCTCACAAAAAGGGGTTGGGTAGGAATACAACTATCAAAAGGGTGTTCATCCTGATCTTAACTTAAAGTCCAATGAAGATAACAATTGCAGGTATTCTGATTTTCTCTAACAGTGGAAGAAAACCATGAACATGAATTTTAAGTTCTAAACTGCAGGAACAAAACGAACAATACTAAGCATGCTTTGGACACACTAAATTCATCTGCACACCCAAGCCATTAAAATGTAAATGTAAGTGCAAGTTTAATGTTTAATATTAATATTCAAGAGCTCTATATTTTGTACCACAATTTATGCAGCTAAGAGAACAGTAACATATAAATCAATGATAGCATTATATAATAGTAATAAAAACAGTAGACCCTCATTCTTTGGATAAAATAAAATATTCCTTTGCACAACATTATAAAACTAGTACATGACCTCTATCTTTTAAAATTTAAAGACAGTGAAATTTAGTAAAGTACTTTCACAGAATAGATAAACAGAAAGCACACCTGTTGCAGAAGCAGAAGCGGAAGCAAAAATGATTGGCTGATTTTTATTAGTTTCAGCAATTATTTGTTCTGAGTCTGTTATAACATCCTGATGTGATTTTTCAACTTGATTGATGAGAAAAACATATATAAAGTCAGAAAGGTTTAGCAGATAAACATTCTATTTTTCATATGCCAGAGATACTTCTGGTAATAATTAGATTTTATAAGAATTGTTGAATATCTTATGGATAAATTTAAAGTCAGGGGGAAAAAATCAATTTAGAGCAGCTTGTTTCATAAATGGATGATCTGCCTTTGATGGCAATTTAGAAATATATCCTACCCCCCCGACAAGAATTTTTTTTTTTTTTTGATCAGTTCCCCATAAAACAGCGGTTGGGAACTTTCTCAGAAAGCGGACTTCACAAAATAAACATTTTAAAAGAAAAATCTCAACACCAGAATCTCACAATATATTGTGAAGTTCTGCCATTTCAATCTAAATTGTTATGAGATCCATGGCAAAATTTCTGAACTCTCACAAGATCTGGCCATTTTTAGCTTCATTTAATTTTATGGGACCATGTTTCTTATCATTGCTGTACAGTTTCCTTCAGCCCCTCTTTAATTCACCACTGGAGACAGCTTTGTGAAGAAGAAAACAGCAATGGGAGAATAACATTAATAAAAATGTTTTTCTCTCCTTTATGTCAGCAAAAGGCTCATAATGCAGGTCTTGAAACTCTGGATCCCACCATGATAATATTTGTTTATTTTTGAAACACAAAATGTTGTGCTTCTTCAAAAATAATTTGAAAGAAAACACACCTGGTACAGATGCAGAAGCAGAAGTGACTGATTGATTCCCAACAGATTCATCAATGATTTCTTCTGATACAGTTTGTACACTATGAGATGATTTCAGAACTTTATGAGAAAAAACATAAGATCAAGATGAATCAAGAGGAAAATGCATTCTGCTAAATTATTATAAAGGTGCTTATTCCAGAGTGACAGGCTAGATAATTTTGCAGAGCAGAACAAATTTGAGATGCAGAAATAAAAGCGTTTGGATGGGCATTTATCTTACACAACTGTTACTTTGCAATCCACCATTCTGCACAGCTGTTACTTTGCAATCCACCATTTCTCAATATTTGAAAAAATAGACATAAATTTGTGCTCTTAGAAAAAGCAAATTATTTTACCATTTCATTTTCAAAGCTCTAAGTTCTAAGAAAGCAATCACAATAATTTCTTGCAAGAGTTTTACCAGTGTCTGTATTTGTGCTAGCATTCTGCAGATCTGCAGTCTTTTTTCCTACAGAAGCCAGGTAATGTAGTGCCGCTGATGAAATATATGTATCTGATTCTAAAATAATAGAAGATAGGATTATAATCCAATTCAAAAACAAACACACTATTTTATAAGCTATTGCTAATTGCATCACTTCAGCCATTTGCCTGAATTGGACAAAACCTAATTATCTGCTCAGGGGGGTTTATGAAGAATATGAGCAGAACGGTACCCATGTTTAATTTCTTTCCTCTACCAGTCTGCCTACCAATTGTGTTTGTCACCTGCACTTTTTTCCTTAATTTTTTAATGCTGAAAACAAGTAGATAGGATCTGAAAGCAACCCTTCTGATGCTTCTCAGAACACTGGTCTTGATGTACTATTGTTCTGGAGCACGTTGAAGTCAGTAAAGCTGAATTTTGCAGTGTGTGAGTGAGAGAGAGAGAGGAGAGGGAGTAAATGAATTAAAAAGAGACACAAGGTAATAAAGCTTTACTGTCAAATGCTAATTCCTCCCAAACCTGTCTATATTTATGTTCTATTAAATCACTCAAAAGCTTCCGATCCACTACCTGTGAAGGGAGTTTAATTACTTTAGCTATAGCAATAAATCTGGGAATTACAGCCAATTTTAAGATGACATTTTATGTATCCTCATTGCAAGAGTAAATAAATCTGCATTTCTCTGTTCTGTCCAAGCAATCAGTTGATTAGTTGATGGTGAGAATTCCTTTTCCTGGTTGTAGAAGCAGGGGAAAGATTTGTCCTTCCCATCAACAAAGGGAATCATTACAGGTTTGGGTCCCCAGTCCTCAGGAAGGGGACAAGCTTTCTAACAGAATGGGCTCTAATGAAAACGATTTTTAGTTTAACCTATGATTTAAACTGCAATGTACCATATTTATTTTTATGTTTTATAATCTGTACTTGAATGATGCAAGGATAAAAAATGGGATATAAATTCAATACATGCATAAACAATAAACAATTACCGTATTCTCTCTTATAATGACTACAATGCTCTTATAGTTAGCATACTTTAAGGGGAAATTGATAGGACATATTAGCACAAATGAAACATATACAACTCTAAGCCAGAACCTGTTTGAAAATGCATCACTCACCAGTGATTGCACTGTCAGTAAAAATAACCTAAATACAGAGGCCAGGGCAGATTTCTGACAGTTTTCTATGAATCATTTGAGCAGACATTAAGAGCTGCTAGTGCAATGGTTCTCAACCTTTTTAATGCCGCGACCCCCAACCGGTCATAAGTCGAAGACTACTCAACCGGTCGTAAGTCGAGGACTACTCAACTGGTGCAGCACCGCTTGCAGAATGGGACTTTTGGTGGGCTCAGCAGGGCAGAGACAGCCTGGACAATTCCTATTGGCTTTTGAAAGCCAATAGAATTAGACTCCATTCAAGAGAGTCTATTCTATTGGCTTTCAAAAGCCAATAGAATAAAAGGGAGTAGCACAGCTAAGGAAAAGGGGGAAAAAAATGGCGAACTGTGTTGTTTGGCGACCCCTGTGAAATGGTCGTTTGATCCCAAATGGGGTCCCGACCCACAGGTTGAGAACCGCTGTGCTAGTGAGAAATTCTATACACAGTTTATATAGGTAACCATTGCCATTCAAGAGAAATGTAAAACAGTGATATCCTGGAAAGAACATTAAATCTTTCAAGACAATTTTGCTGAAAAAACTTACTTGGTAATGAACTGGCATCACATAGGCCAGCACTTAATTCAGCTTGGGGTTTCTAAGGCAAGAACAAGTATCATTAAACATATACAGGTGATTTAATGTTATTAATATACTTCAATATATTAATATAATTTTTCAGTATGTATTGCTAGGAAACAAGAAGAGTGGATGTAATTACAGTTCCAGGTCAATAAAACAAAATCAGAATTTAAAATACAGAAACACCAGTAAAACCCAAAATTTAAAATTCAAACACACACACACACACACACACCACCTAATTTGAAACAATTAATAAGAAGAGGTGCTGAACAAGGGAAGTTTGGGAAGAGTATGTGGTGGAAGGACTTACTCAAGCAACTTCCTACCTTCCCCGCTGGCTTCCCCATTGATTTTATTGTGGGAAGTTGCCATGGAAGATCACAAATTGTGATAGCATGATTGCAAGATGCTGCAATTATAAATGTGAATCAGTTGCCAAGCACTCAAATCATGATCATGTGACCATGGGGAGGCTGGGATGGCTGGAACTCCAAGGATCGGTCATAACCTCCACTCATTCAGCACTGTTGCTAACTTCAAACAATTGCTGAATGAGTGACTGTTAACTGAGGACTATTTGCATGTTTTTCAATTCACAAATTACAGTACCTAGTTACCATTTTCTATAGCATATCATTCTTCCGCATTTAATCTGCTTCTGTGAGTCCCATCATCAGTCAAAAACAATGCAAAGGGAATACATGAAGTTATGTAGTTCAAATGTATATACTGCATGTTGAATAATTTTCTCAATTTGGAAAGTCTCTTATATTCTAACAAGATATATTTGATGCTTCTTTCTTAAATTAAAGATGATAAAATGTTTTGTCGTAGAACTATTATGTCCTGACCACATTAAATTTGTCTTTACAGACAAATGAGGGTTTTTTTTTTCTGGAACATTAGCAAACACAAACCAGAGTGAAAATGAATGAATAGAAAAAAGTGGACTAGTGCATTACTAGTCCACTTCTATACCATGTTTTACTATATTTTACTTTAAAACCAAACAATATAATGAAGATAATCATCAATTAACGTTTTCTTATTGCTTGCCTTTGTTGGCTTTACAGCATCAGGAAGAACAGAAGAATCATTTTGTTGATTAGTCACAATGGCTTTCATTTTTTCTTCCTTCTCCTTGATCCGATTTTCAATACGTCTCTTCTGCCTAGGGTGATAATAATATAGAAATACGTTGTTTGAAAAATTATCAGAATGTTTCAGACTCAGTCCTACTCATCTGGCACAGGGCCTCCAAAGCAGAATGATATATAATAAACGATATTGGGGTGACGCTAGTGAGGTAATACGAGAATAGAACTAGCTATATCAACTATCGGGTCACAAGAAACATAATCAATATTTTCTTAACATATGGAAAAACTACATTTGGTCTAAACTGCAGCATTTGTTACTTTACAAGAAAAGTTCTCCTCTCTTTACTACAAGAACTAATGCAATTGCGACCAGATTTTGGTACATAGGATTAAACGTTTGGTTTTTACCTTTTCTTATTATTCCTAACTTGTCTTGCTTCGTTTAGTTTAATATTAGCTTTCAATAACTGTATCTGCTTGGGATGCTCTTTATGCTCCGGGTACTGAACAATATGCTGGCTTTGTTCAAATGCAATCAGATCTTGAAGGGGAATGAGTTTCGGTATCTGAAACTGTTCATAAAACAAGAGAGATCATAAATAAATTCAAGTTTCCCTTTCAATATTTGGGGAGCAAATTAAGTTGAGAAATACTTCATTTATGAACTTAAATGAAAGTGCTATTATGACATCTAAATTAAAATAATACACACATTTTATAAAACAATTACCTTGGTTAGTGGAGGTAAATTAGAATAAAGCAATGGTAATCCTGTCTGTCCAGGGGGTGCTCTGCAATCTGTAGTTTTTGTTGTAAGCTTAACTGGTAAACATTTGGATTGTGGGCTGGTCTTCAGATATAGCAAAGGAATTTCAGTAAAATGCCCATGTGCTTGATGTGAATTAATTTCATTGTCAACCAATGGTTTTTCTGCCCTTAGATATTCATGGAAGGGTTGTAACGGTGCTGAATCTTCCTTTTTTCCATATTCATCTATAGGAAACTGTTTGGAAATCCTTGTCTTGACTGGTTCTGCCCAACGCTTTGTCTGCTTTTGTGCCTGGTTTATAACATTTTGATCATAACAGTTCAAGTTTAGATGTGCTCTTGTCTCACTTGTGGGTTCTGACATTTGTAAACTGGGAGGATTTTGTGCCAGAGAAGGTGAGGGGCCCCAGGCTTCTCTTGGTCCTGATGATGATCCAGAGGATCTGCGGCGTATTACTGGACAGAAATTGAATGGCTGAAATTGATAATTTGTTTTTAGCTTAAGCAAAGGAAATCCCTCTGCATTATTTAACGGTTTTGCCACTGGAATAAGCTTTGGTTTCTTCTCAGGATTTAGGGAAATAGATAATAGAGGAAATGGCCTGGCTGGATTCTGATGAGGTGAGCTTTGACGTGGCAGCCTCAATCTTGCACCAATAGACTCACTCTCTCGTAACGCTGAAGAATCAGTCATATGCACAGACCTCTACATAAGGCAAAAGATAACAAATGTAAGGTTTTTGTTATAATAATACTGGATGATCACATCCAACAACAACCTCAAATATGAGTTTTAAAACTTTAAAAATCTCAGCAACTCACTGTGTTATTTTCATCCTGGTTCTGATCAGGTAAGTTCTTTTCTTCCTGAGAACTGTTATTTTTCTGGCCAACATTCCAATTGTTTTCTAGAGTTGGTATCTGATGCTCAGTAGGTTTTTGCACACCATCAGCTGGCTGCATGGGAGGAGATCGATGGACATTATTTGCTTCAGTGTTTGAAGCCCAGTTTCTTCCTAATGGAAAAGGTTGAGGTTGCTGCATTTGCTGTGATGTACTTGGCAAGTTGGCAAATCCAACTATTTGCATGAGGCTCAGATAATTAATCTGCTGTAGCTAGAATGTAAGAAATTAATAAATTTAGAGGTAAAAGCCACAATATTACCCTGCTTCAATAACCACAATGTTATGACCCTTGCATTAAGTTTTAGGAAAAGTGACCATTTAAGAATATAAGATAATTTTAAGGGCAGTAAAGATAGGAGCCGAATAATATCAAACATTTAGCTGCATAGCCACATTAGGAATAGTTGTAGCTTATATTTTAAGTACGGGTAGCGTGTTTGTAGAATTTTCACTGTGTTTTACTCATCTATAAAAATATTTCCACTGAAGCCAACTACTTGTGTCACACATGCAGTTGTACAACTAATGCACAGTAGGGTAAATAGCATTGTTCCAAATAGGCTTACCTGCAGCTGTACTTCTAATCTCTATGCAATGAACAGATTATTTGAAGAATAAAGAAACTCTGGCTTCAAACTCAACTAGCAACAATGTGCTATTCTTGGAAGCATTACCGAATTTGTAATGCCATCATCTTCTGGGATGTTTAATCGTCAATCATTCTCTTCCCAGTTTAGCCATCAGCTAAAATAACTAAACCAACATCAACCAAGCTTGATCCTGCCTAGTTTTCAACTTCTGAGGCATAATAAAGGAGTACAGCTGCATTGGGCAAAATAATTATAATGCAGTTGGCTATTTTAAACTTACTGGAAGCATTCTGAACTCAAAGCAGGCTTTTCTGCACTTGGAAAATTTATTTGGTGAGAGTCGGACAGTCCAGTTCAAGCTCAAAATATTTTGAACTCAAAACATTTTGCATACTTACTTCTACAAAGCAATGTCTTTTGCTATGTTCTGAATTTTGTTTGATATTTTTTAAATGTTTATTGTTAAGAAAACCACTAGCTATTTATTTTCTGTAGCAGATTAGAATTTCTTTTTAAATGGTTTTCTTAGAATTGGTTAGCAACTCAGCTTTTGTATTTACAGAAACGTTAGTTCCGGAATCCTTTGGACACTTACGCCCCTATTTTAATTTTGAAATACAATTCTGAAAGATAATAAACAGTAATATAGGAGATAAAATAGTGGCTTCTTAACATAAAAAGTAATTAAGAATTTCAACACCTTATACATTTCAAAACATCACCCATTTTCATTAAAAAAAACCATTGGTATGGCCTGAATTCTGGCTGGAAAGTTATATACCAGGACTTTCTATAGATAATAAATAGCACTGGAGACAAAACTGTGCTGTGGCATCCTATGGCATAGGTGCCAGGATCCTGGAACATAGGAACCTAATTCTATTCTCAAAAAACTGTCCGCACAATCAAGAATAGAAACTCCATAGTATAGTGCTCCTATCCCTGAAGATAGTTGAGAGGAAATCATGGTTGATACTTAGTAATATTTGCCATCCTGTATTCAAGCAGAAGGAATATAATCATATTCCTCCTCTACTTTTCAATAGGATGTCATCAGATCATGGCAGATTGTGTTCTAAAGCTAAGAAACCTGCAATTCTTATATGCACAAAGGCTGGCTTCCTTGTACAATGTATCTAACTGTCTTATACTTAAGGAGGAAAAACCAGATAATTTGCTTTTTTTTTAAAAAAACACATTATTTTAAGAATTTTCAGTTCTTCAAACTGAAACATTTTGTTTGACAGAAGCAAATTACTGATCTTTCCACAACTTTAGCAACGTCAATGAAGCCACATCAGGTATTCATTAAAAATCTGTGAAATCAGGTTTGTTGAGAGAATGATACATACATAGATTGACTCTCCAAACAGGTTTTATGCCAAACACATAGAAGCACAGATTAGATTCAAACTGAGAGGCAAAGTCAAGAGGCATAGTCTCAGTTGCTTTTCTATGTATTAGATTTTTTTACTGCTTCAGCATCTGCCATATACTGTAAATTGCCTCTGAATCCTATGTACGTCATGTGAGTATTTCCACATAAGTAATCAATAAATATGTAATGATGAATTATCTATACTACAGAATATAAATTATACTTCAGACACATAAACATCTTTAGACCTTCATTGATTTCAATGAATTAATACGTTCTAAGGCATATGCTTATATTTGTCATAATGTTATATTTTCACCTGAATCAGCTTAAACATTTCATCTTGTAGCATTTCCCTGACAACCTCTGAAGTGTTCGGTGGTTGTGCTGTAGTTTCTTTTCTATCAATCATCTCTGTTTCTACACCAGCATCATTTGAAGGAATCTCTGACACTTCTGTGAAAGAAGGCTGATCATCTGAAACAGTGATGTCTACACTGAAGAGATAAAAAGGGAAATCAGTTGTGATAAATAGAAAAACCAGGAGTCTTACCTGTTTTCTTAAATATCTAATTTATACAGAGTCTAGTTCTGTAGAGCTGTATACAAGGTCTGAAATAGCAGGGACAAGTTACTCCAAGGAAAATTACATATTTAGGATGTACTCTAATTTGTTAATGGTTGAAGAGTATGAAATAAATAGTTCCTGCTTAGGAAATGACTACTCAGAAGGGATCATAGGAGTATCTGACTATCTGAAATAGCTATTGTGAGCAATCCCTAAATAACAAAAAACACGAAAGTCTCTTTGCTTTGATAGTCAAGCTATGTAAATTGCATACTGGTAAACCCAGATATAAAATTACAAGAGGAACATGAGACAATAAAGTTCCATTACATCTGATATCTCCTTATTGTGTATATTTCTCCTTATTTAGGGTTTTTTCCCTCCTCTCCAAAGTGATAGTGACATCCTTTGAGTAGTTATGCATATCTCCAGTTACTCTTTCATAGGTCAACATTATAGACAATAATCTCTCATTTTCAGACGTAATTCCAGGAAGATTACAATAATTAGCAATTACTCTATCAATTTAAAATTCTTCCATCGGGAATCTTTATTATTCAAACATTCCACTGTAGGATAGGAATTAGGTATTGGCACCGCTCCCATGTACTTAAATACCTCCCAGTCTTCTTGGGACTGCCCAGTTCCCCCAAGGGAGTTCAGAAATAAACCTAAGGATAAGCAACTAATGACAATGGATTAAACTTCTGAAATAGTGATTTTTAAACTGATAGCAAAATGCTAGAAATCAAGGGAATGGTTCAGGGACAGAATTTCATAAATTTTAGAAAATAATTTACCTAGTTGTTTCTGCCCTCTTTTCAGAACAAAATGGAAGGGGAGAATCATTGGGAACTACTTCACCTGTAGTACTGGAGATACAAAGAGAAAAACATGCAATAGTTTTAACATATGATAAATCTCCATTTGAATGCAAGTGAATGAATTTATTTAACTAAACAATTTTAATTAAAAGTTTCAAATGTATTTACTTACTATTCATTCTTTATCACAGCAGTAAGCTTTTTTTTTTTAAACAAACACTGTTACCCTGTGCACAACTTTGGACTGTTTACATCTGGTCTATGTAACCAGTAGTAACTAACTCAACAAAACATCAACATCTAAGTGACATGAATGCTAGGGTAAAATAATAAAAGATAACTGCTCAAGAAAGAAAAAAAAGAAAAGGAAACCAGTACTATTAAATGATCAAAAGTTAATTTCTAAAAGGATTTCCTATATATTTTTCTTCCAAAGGACAAATTATTCATTTAAATCATTAACATAAACATTGTTAACTATGGAAAAACAACTTAAAGAGGATAAAATTAATAAAGAGCAATTCTATGAATCATTTTTGGGATATGTCTGATTATATCATATATTAATATTGTTAATGTTATGTTAAATGTGTAAATATACTATATATTAATAGTATATTTAAAATTCACAGCTCTCATCAATGTTACACTGCAGGAACAAAAGGACAGAATCCAAAGATGGAAGAATAACTGTTCTGACCTTCTCTTTGTTTCCTGAGCAGCTGAGGGCACTTCGAATAAAAAGCAAGATTTCGGTTATCTTTACTTCCTGATCTACTTCTAAATTCATGTGGGGTCCAGAAGATTCAGCAAAATAAAGATGTCAATCTGGAAGTACTTCATTGTGAAGCACTAATGGCCATTAAAATGATATGTTATTATTTATTAGAAAAAAACCCACAAATATCAGCAGATAATACGTGGGTATAGTTCAGGGCTTTTTACTGCTGATGTAGAACAAAGCTGTGGAACTATGTAAGACATAACCTCCTGGTTAAATTCTGATACATACTCGTAATAATCAGCAAATAAAAATAAAGCAAAGAATGAAACATGTAGAGCAATAGATATACACAGTATTAATTTCTCTCACCCATCCGGTTTTGTACATTTGTTCTCAGGTGTTTCCATTAAAGGTTCATCCTGTTGACATTCTACTTTTAATTCAGAGAGATGCTGTGATTTAAGGGATATTCAAGCATATATTAATATGTTATCATTCCACTGCTTTAAAATGATAAAATTTACTATTTATTTATTCTATTAATATTCTGATTGTCAGCCAATTTTGGAATTTCTTAAATGATCAATCCTGCAATGATGACATACAGCCTAGGTTATTTATGCTAATATAATATACTATATTGGTATGAATATCTTCTAAAACATATAGCTTATAGTGTCATTTTTCAGATTCAATATCTAATGAGACTGAAAAAAATAAGTTCAAGTAATCTTTTTTGGATGGGGGAGGGAAACCCAAGGATCACTTTCAGTCTGTTATATAAGAACTAAATTTTAAAAAAATGGATGTTAGAAAAAATAGAGCAAATGTTAAATATCTGCAAATGTTAGTGTCTAATCCATTGCTTTATTTTATTCAATAAAAACCTATAGGCCAGATACCTGGTCTACCACCCTGAGCCCCTCAGGGAACAATAATTAAATGCAGAGAAAGTAATCATATTATCAACTTAATTAATTGTAATTTACTGCATATGTATGTTTTTGATAATTTGAATCCTAAAAACCAACTACTCAAAAGTTGTTTCCTCAGTTTAAAACAGCTTGTGCATCCTAGCTAAAAATTAAAATTCACTGACAACCAATAGCTCTTTTCAGAGTAATTTCCAAAGAGCCTCAGAATATAAAGTCATGAAATCAAAGAAATATTGTTTGACAGACAAAACTGAAGCAGAAAACTGTATCAATTTTAAATTTTGATAAGGAAGAAAGATCACAACAGTTCATTGTTGTGATGAAAAAGTTTATTAGACTTGGAACATTTCAAGCAAAAACTGTAGGTCTTTTTTTTCTCAGATCAAAGAAGTGTCCATGATACTTCATTAACAAATTATAAATTATCATTTATCATTAATCTGAATTTCTTTTTCTGCTATCATGGAAAGCATAAGTATAGGATGTATGTTTCTCCTGATTATTATACATGAAATCTAGACCAAGAATTGTATGAATTAATTTGATTTTGCAATAACAAGTCATGATTCTACAAAAGTCAAGTTAAACAATGCTGAAATCCTTTGGAATGAGGTCCTCTGTGTTCTAACACAGTGGTTCTCAACCTTTTGTTCACCACAGACCCCTTTAAATACCTTTTGTGGCCTCAGACCACGGCCATGGACCCCTAAGACTTAACTCAAGATTTAAAGGAGGCTATTTCCTCAAGAGTTTGTGGACCCTTGTGACAACATTATGGGTCTCCCAGGACCACAGGTTGAGAACCACTGTTCTATCATATCTACCGATAACGTTATATGTCATACATAAAGTATAGGTTTTATAAACTGAATGGAAGAAAATACACTTATTTGGGGAACTACTTACTTCATTTTTCTTTTGCACTGATTTAATACTGACAGAGATGGTAGGATTTCTTGAAACTGGATCTTCACTACAGACTTCAAAACAAGCACAACATTAAAAAGAACAAATAAAGAGAACAATGTATTTCCCCCCCCCCCCTATCTTTCTCTTTCTTTTTACTAACAAGCCTTTTCATTGATTTTCTTGTATTTATATGAGAGATGATAAACATTTTAATAGTATTTGTTTATGAGTGGCTCTTAAACTCTTGATTCATTGAAATTCTTAACAAATGTTGCATTTATTTTCCTCACTGAAAGTAACATTCCCATATCTTTGTAACAGTGTTCAGGTTTCCATAATGAGAAATTTTCAGAATAGAAACACAACTTTCTCTTTAATTTCTTTGTCTCAAGCTTCTGTATTTGTGGCTATCCAGCAGAAAACCCAAAAGAAAAATCATCCTACATAATTCCACACCCTCATAATATTCCAAGTTACAGGGACCTCAAAGAGTTCAATTTTGTTATTCCTTTATTTCAGCTGACAAACAGCTGACTTCTCAAGCTGCCCTCTGTTTTGAGTTGATTGGTAGAATCACACAAGCACCACTTAATTCAGTTTTTATTTTTGCTTGTTTTTTTAAAAAAATCCCTAATGAATTGTACATTTACGACCTTGTATTTTCTTCTGTTAACAAGTATCCTGCTCTGGGAAGCTTTCAAACCCCAAAGCTGTCCTCTGACAACAAAATGGAGGTGAGGGGTGCCACGTGCGTCAATCCGGAGCTCATTTCTTGGCTGCAAAGACCTTTCCGGAAGGCCTCTGACGGCGAAACGGAGGCCGGGAGTGACGTGTGCGAGCTGTGGAAAGCAGCCACAAAAGAAGTGGGCTGGCGAGGCAGGTGTTGGGATGTGGGAGGCCTGTCCTAAGATAAGTGGATGTGGGGCACATGGGGCAACTCCATCCCCCCTGCCCTAGCTTGATTTTTACCTCTGCATCTCGCCCACCTCGTGCAACCAGGTGCAATGGGTCTTAAGTAGAGCTTATTTTTGGGGTAGGGCTAATATTGGGCCCACGTATAAAAATCAAACTAGGATTTATTTTGGGGATAGATCTTATTCTCGGGGAAACACGGTATTACATATCCTATGCAAAAATCTCTTTTATTTCACATAAATGACTTCATATAAGTGAAGAAAACATTTTTCTTTTAACTAACCTTCAGTTTCAGATATTATGTCTCTTTCATTTCGTAGAAATTCTGCCACTTTTTCTGCCAGACTGATATCCACAGCTGTACTTCCAATGTCTACATCAGGTACTATAGAATGATCCCTACGACTTGCTTTCTTCCTATTTTGCTTTTCAGGTAATGTTCCACACCTTTAAAAGTGACATTTTTTTTAAAAAAGAAGATTTTAGGTAATAACGTTGTCTCCTTTTATACAACAGTTTTTACTCCCTTTGGTAATATATGTTCTTATAATCAAACTGAATGCTGAATTCTTACCTTGGAATATTTTTAAATGGTTCACCATATGCATGTCCCTTTTGGATATCAGCTGGAGCTCCCTCTGATGAAGAACTATTTGTATCCTCAGAACCATCTTTCTCCAGTTTGGGTGTGATAGTGGAAAATTTTTCACACTGTTTCTGTGGTTTCTAAAACAATACCACATATAATTTTTAAGTTTAAAAAATGATTTGTATTCATAGCTTTGCATTACACTCCTGTTGTGCACATTTCAATATCTACTATTACACCATAGGAAACCCGTCTGCCTAAGAAAAACCTCATCAGTAGAGGCTCTATATTTTCAGATTTGGATTAGAATGTAAATCTTGTTGAGATATATGCCTTCCTATAAATAGTCTTTAATACAAATTACAATTTGATAATATAATACAAATTACAATTTGATAATATAATTGTTTTGAAAAATTATAGATCAAATTTTAAATTTTCCCTTCACAAAAATTGTCCCATATTAGTTACCCAAAGGCTCCATTTGGCTTTAAATATGTTTTTGCTAAATAAATTATAGGCCAGGATTTCATAGATAAGTACCATTCCTTAGTATTTTTCATGTAAGTTTCTGCTACTTCTAAATGTACATTACAAGAAATGTCCATGGCTATGGAATGTTTGGCTGCTTAGCGACTGCTCTACAAGGAAGTTCATTACTTAACATTCTGAAATCTTGGTTCCCTGACAGTGTTCTAATTAATTAGGAAGAAAACATAGAGTGATTGCTGGAAATATTTTGAATTAGTATGTATCTCTGGGAAAGGAAAACTTTCACATAATATTTTATACTATTTTAATTTTTTTAATATAATTCCATGACAGTAAAAAAAGAATGCCATAGAAATTTCATACTTTTCAAGCCCTATTAATGCACATTTACTTTTTAAAATATAAAGTAAAGGAAACAAAGAGTTCTTGTTCTAGCAATATAGCAGGTCTTTGGATTCATTTTCTTTACACCTCCTTATTATCATGCATAAAAAACAAAGAACACCCCACAAAATATTTAGTATGAACCTTTTATCTATTATACAATCTCAATGCATCAATAATTTAATCTGATGCAGGTCAAGTTCGACTGTTAACATAAAGTGCATAACTTTGTCATTAATTATTGGCTTTTCTAGATGCTAAAAGCTTACAGTTCAAATTTTGATAGTCCGATGTAAAGTTAAAATGTTTTTCTTGGTCTTTCTCAAAAGTAATTATTGAAAAAAAATCACTGTTTGCATCGTTACTTAATGGGGAAAGCTGAGGGTGAAATAATTTTGCTCTATCTATGCCAATTTTCAGAGATGATGCTGAGAGAAAATAATTTATTTCCTTTGCTGAGTTCAGCAAACAGCAAAATATGTTCAAATGCATGCAGTTAGCAAGTTACAGCAGTTGCATCTCTGTATATGCTGAAGAAAAGAGAAGGCTACAAATTCTCTAGAGCAGTGTTCCCCAACCTTTCTGGGTTGACAGCCTGACATGAAGGGGGGGGGGGGGTAGAGGGGATGGTTTTGCAAGAGATAGGTATGCGCACGTGCAGCTTTATTTGTATGAGTGACGGGTGAGATTTGTTTGTATGCACTTTGAGACACTTTGCCCAAATTCAAATATTAGCTTTAGATATGCTCAAAATAATTTCCGTTACTTACCAAATCGCAATTTTGGTCTTGAAATTTGTTGCCGTAACGTCGCTCTAAAATCCACAATGATGAAAGAATGGCAGATGAAGATATTTTCACATGCATCATTGGCTGACATTCCTGAAATGCCCCTGTTGTGCTGGGATCTTGAACCATTCTTTTACTGGACCATCTGATCATCCATTCAAGTAAGCGAGATATATTGTTAAATTTAAGATGTATTTCTGGAACTGGTTCGTCTTGTTGTGTGACGTCATTCACTTGTCCAGTTTTGCAGATGTATTTTTGAAACAGAGTTGTTTTAGGGGTAGACCGACATTGAACCAACGCTGGTGTGAATGTCTTACTGGAATTATGTGAGTCACTGACTGATCGCTGGCTTTGACCAAATAAGCCTCTTCTTTCAGCAAGTCTCATAACTGAATCACAGTCTGAAAGCTCTAACGGTTGTTCATTAGCTAAAGTTTCTTTTTCATAATCTTTTTTCTTTTTATCACATAAAGAAGCTAGTTTAGAATCACTAAATCCAAAACCAAGGGTGTAGCAAGAACCAGCTCTGAATGCATTTTGGACTTCAGTTCTCACCTGTCGACGTATCAGTGTTGTATGAACATCAAAAAGAAGAGAATGGAGCTCATGCTCTCTAAGCAGTGCTGAAAAGCATGTCAGAAAAGGAACAGCAGATTCACTGTGATTGAGTGGATCTCTTTCAAGTACGTAAGTTAGGAAGAGGTCTAAAAACTTAATGTATTCATCATCATCACGTTCAAATTCCCATTCACCGACTAGAGGCATATGGAGATGATTGGGAAGGTCTTTATGGGTCTCTTTTTTAAAATCTCTTTTCCCACTGCAGTCTTTTAACTTTTCAGTCCACTCTTTACAGTTGGAAACATCTATATAAGAGGGTAAATCACTACAAAACAGAATAAAATAACATATAAAAAGCAAATTCTTTTCCTTCCACGGCAACTTCTGTATATCCATAAAGGCAAGGAAGGTGCTTTCAATCCAGGAAAGAAACAAATACCGTGTTTCCCCGAAAATAAGACTGGATCTTTTTTTTTGCCTCCAAAAGAGGCACCAGATCTTATTTTCGGGGGATGTCTTTTATACTCACCTCCGGCACAGACAGACCCACCCAACAGGTCCCTTCTTCTGCCCAAAGGAGCAGCTTCATTCTGCAGCTGCATTCCAACCTGCTTTTAGAAAAGCCACTGCAGCCGAGTACTGAGCTATGGATTCAATCCATAATAGATTCAATCCATAGCCCAGTTCTCAACTGTATACTTCTTGCAGAACTGAGCTATGGATTCAATCCATAGCTTGGTTCTTGGCTTTCCATTAAGGCCTATGACTGAGAAATGCAGGTCTGGCTGCAGAAGACTTGGCAGAAGAAGTGGGCCAGTGAGGAGAGACCTGGCTACAAGGTAAGTGGGTGAGGGGCATGTGGGGCAGCTCTACCCCCCCCACCTCTGTCCTAGTTTGATTTTTAGGTGTGCCTTGCCCCAAAACTAGGGTTTATTTTTGAGGTAGGGCTTATATTAGGCCCACCCCCAAAAATCAAGCGAGGGCTTATTTTCAGAGTAGGCCTTGCTTTTAGGGAAATGTGGTACTACAAAGTAGCTAAGAGTAAAATAAGCCTACATGGCACAATGTCAATCATATGCTAAGTCTTATGAAAAATATTAACTTACTGAAAAAACACATTAAATATGATTTTTATGACAATCTCATTCTTATTGTGTTCTTCTGCTTTAAGGATTTTCTTGGATGGATCGCGTCAGTCCACTACTGCTTTGGTCTTACTTTGCTATGCGATCCCCAGAATCAATGAAGCACAAGAGGAGCAGAACAAGGATATGAGGCTTTTAGGTTGCGATCCTATGCACACTTACATATAAGCCAGATGGAACTTGATGCAAAGTAAATGTGGACAATTTCATACAGTTTAAATAAGATGTTACTCAAAATAATATTTTCTTTGATTCAAGACAAAATGTTAAAAATACTTACTTGGGATTTTCTTGCTTCGGTTTTCTTGCTTCTTCTGTCATCCCAAACTCAGAAAGTGAATCTGCTGGTTCAGCACTGTTACACCCTTGAAGGTTTCTGAAATCTGAAATTGTGCTTCTGCTTAGAGTAGTCCCCAAAGAAAACTGATCATAGCAGGAACCTCCAGAGTCTTGTATCTCTTCTTCTGGTGGCTCCCAGATATTTGTTTGAATGGGCCCTATGTTTCTTATCACACGTTTCAGGGTTTTCACATTCACTTTGTAAGTAGCCTGTAGTACAACCGACATAATTTCTTCACTATTGGGGCCTAACCATAAAGACAGAAAATGTGGATCACATTAACTAGTCATTTTAACTGAGATGTCAGATAATTTATATTGTATGACAAATCTTATATGCAGTGGGTGGATAATACTATTCGGTGTCTATTCAATATATAAAATTTCCCTTGGCCAACAATCTAGAATAATTTATATTTGTTTTCCATTGGTAAGAATTCCGGACATTATTGTTCACGTTACTTAAAGACAATAATTCATACTATGAGTATTTATATTTTCATTTTTCAAGGAACTTTCTTTTTAAGAAAAAAATATTGCTTTGCTTTCATAATTTTTGTCATACACTGTACCTTTAACTGTGCAATGCCTAAGTCGTTGATATAGATCATTATGTTTATCCCTTAGTGAGACCCTCACATCTTCAGGGCTAGGAAATGCTTTTACCAAAATTTCTGCCACCTGTATAAAACAAACCAGCATGAAGTTTAAATTGCTTCCAGATACTTGGTAAAATTTCCAAAAATCAGTTGCACGCTTGTAAAAACAAACATTCAAAGGTATATAAATAGTGTACGACTTACAAATACACTGGGACACAAATTGCTTCTGTCGTGGTTGAAGCAGTCATTAAGCAACATGTCCATGTGACTACTTCAATCAACAACCATAATCCCGGCTGCAATCTCCAGCAAAAGAGCTGCATGCTGAAGGATTTCAGATCCATGTGGAGATGAAACCCTCCTGGCAAGCAGCCCTGTTGCTCTCAAACATTTCTGCAAAGGTTTCCCTACATGAAGGGGGAATTCTTCGACGGGCTGCAGAAAAAGAGATGAAATCCTGAAGATTTCAGTAGCTTTCTTCCAGTTCCATAAAGGATTGCAGCTCCCCTCCACCCCCCCCATTGCAATCTTTCTTGAGGGCTTCCCCATTAACTTACTGGGGAAGCTGGCAGAGAAAATTGCAAATGGTGATCACGTAATTGTGGGGCGCTTAGCAATTGATTGTAAATGTAAACCTGTTGCCAAGCCCCCGAAATGTGGTCACATGACCGGGGGGGGGGGGTTGGCACAAAGTTTTACAATGGTTGGAAGTGCTTTACAGGCCATAAAGTACTCTTTCCAAGGTTGTTTTAACTTTCAATGGTTGCTGAACAGATTAGGATTACCTATATCAAAAAAACTAAACTGCTCAATCCTGCATACCTTTTTAATTGGTGGTAATTCTCCAATAAGGCTCAGAATGATATCTTGCACAAGTTCTTCAATGTTCATGAATCTAGCAAAAGGAAGCATTCGGCAAGCCCACTCCAAAGCACTGACAGAGTACTCAACTATGCAAGCATCAAATTCGATCCTCTTGAATTCCTAAAGAAAGAACATCTTGTAATTGGCCAAAATCTTATCTACATGGTTACTGTCATCTCAAACTACCTGAAATCTAAACCCTGGTCTACCACAAAAATATATGTACTATTAAGACATTTGAATAAAGCTAATATTTAATATTTGAATAAGGGTAAAGGGAATATTGACCATCCTCTTGTACTTCCTTTTCTGAGTAATTCAGGTAGGTTGGATTTAAACCCACAGATCTGCCCTAGTGGTGTATTGTATAAGCTTTGACTATGATTACTAAAAATGTTTTTGGGCAACTTTTAAGATAAAACCTCTCCCAGGGCTCTTACAAAAATGCAATATTGTATTAATAAAGCCAATATTAAAATAAACATTATATAATCATGATTATTTGTAGATGAAATCCTGACTAGACTAGTCATATATTTTAAGAGATACACTTAAAAAGCAGTAGTGGTAAAGTCTGTGGAATCTGAGGAAGGGAGGTACTTCAAATAATTGGGGGACTATTATAAAAAAGGACCTCTCTCTCATTTAAACTGACTTAGCTTAAATTTTATAATTAGAAAGAAGAAAAAAAAGTGAAAAGATAATCTCTTATATATGCCACCCAGTCATTAGTTGAGGTGCGCGGCTATAGAAATCAAGTGATAGATGAGAGAGAGAGGGAGGGAAGGAAGGAAGGAGGGAGGGAGGGAGGGAGAGAGAGAGAGAGAGAGAGAGAGAGAGAGAGAGAGAGAGAGAGAGAGAGAGTTAAAATTTCATGCTATTTTAATTACATTCCGGTTTTCCAAATTCTCCCTTGCCCTTTGATACCGTCTGCAACTATCAGACAATCTTTCACGAACATGAAGCATCCAGCACAATATACATAATTCTCGAAAGCATCCTGCAAGAGACACACAGAAAATTCTGCAGGCAATCAATGTATTCTTTTAATGGCTATATTGTTTACTGTCATCAGCTTCTTCACTTTCCTTCTATCAATTAACTTTCACTGCAATGTATGTATGTGTATACATGCTTATTTACAACATATTAATGACAAGTCACATGAACATTTAAAAATTGCCCTTTCACAAGTGGCTTGTGTCAGGAGATCAGTAAGATATATTGAAAAGCAATGGAATGTCAGAAAAATCAGCAACTAGATTGCTTTCATCTTATAACCCAATTTAGTTCTCAGCTTATTAAAATGGAAACCTTTTCTTCTTTTAACAGACAGATTCTCTATTTGAATGGGCAAGGAGCCAAATGGGAATCTTTCACAGGCTCTGAATATACTATTAAGCCTAGATTAGAGACAAGCTTTTTTGCTTTGCATTTTATTCTTTTTTAAACACATATTGGATTTTTTTGCAGATACACACCTATAGTTTTACATGAAACAGCATCAAAGTTATGGTCTCCAAAAGAAGAGGGCCTTAAGAACACAGTATGATATTTGGAATACTTAAGCAAATTTTCTGGAAGATCACTTAAAGGAGGAAGGGCACCTTTTTTGTGGATCTAAAATGAGAAAGAGGGACAAAAGAGACAAGACAAAAGAAAAAGGAAGACACGGTATAAATTATGACATGGCATTGGAATGTTTTAGATAAAGCCATCTTTGTGATCTTTCTTATTAATTTATTCCTTCCTACTAGGTTAGCAAGCTAAACACAGCTTCTTTGAAATATGGTCAATGAGTATGAACAATCTGATTTACTGAGACACAAGTTTCTGGGCTCTGATTCTTTTCACCACTCAAGAGTCAATTCAACTTGCTGCATATGTTTTCTTAAAAGGGCACTTTGTAAGCAGTTTGCATGTATAAGGAGGAAGGGGAGGGCATCTCATAGGTTTGATAGTGAATTCAGCTTACAAGTGTGTGTATGGGGGGTACCTATTACTACCACACTAGGGATATTATGGCAATAAGAGTAGCGAAGCATAGTTATTTCTTTATCATCATCTTATGTATCTGCTAATAGTTAACCGGTGGCCTTTTTTCTGGTGACCTATATCTTACTGGGGAAGGGCAGTGCTCCTGATCATTTACTGTGAATATTTCAGGCAATATTCTCGGATAAATCTTCTGGATCCTATAATTCCTAATGAAACAGACAGGTTTCTCAGGATTGCTATCTGGCCAGCTTTTGTCACTCTTACTTTATGAAGACCATTTGGGAAGGGATATATGGTTGGGCATTGGCCTTTCTCAGAAAGGGGGATGGTTCTGCTAGCCTTGAAGGAGGAGTGGCCATCTTCCTTACGAGATCATCGCCAGATCCAATCATCCTTAGGTAGTCCAATCCACAACTTCTCCTTTTGGGGAAAGTTGTAAAGAAGGTGATCGGCTGCAGCTACATTTCTACATTAAGAGAACTGAACACCTTGGAATTTACTTCTTAAGAAATACAGATTACCAAAAAGGCTTCTGCTAAATTCCAATTATTTCCCATAGTTGGAACAGTCAAACCATTTCCTGGTCAACTTGGAAACATCCCAGTGATTACATTTGCAGAAAACATACAATTTTAAGGCAACCTAAATAATAAAAAGTAAATAAATCTCTATATGAATCATGATATTTTCCTTCAGAGACTATCATTTAAAAGATCACATCTGAAAGTAATCTACAGGATAGTAAAATTCTAGAATTTTATGAAATATATCAGGTCTAAAAAAGTTTTTTCCATATATTAGCACCAGTTTGTATAATATTATAGTTTCAGACATATACCTTTTGCATAACTCTTCGTGTATGTTTTAGCCGCACAATATACCACTGAGCAGCAGCAAAAGAACAATGAGCAGCCCGGAAAAGAAGAAGAATCCGTTGAACAATTCCAGATACTTTTTGTCTGCAGTCTCTCTCTATTTTTAATGGTACATCAGTATATTCTTCCTAAGAATATTGTAAAATTTAAAAAGTTTACAGTATGAAAATTCCCAAGGAAAGAGTAAGCGCAAGACAGATTACCCATCCTCATTCCCTTTGATTTACTAAAGTGTGAAAATTTAAGATAAGCACTATAATTTCCAAGTATTTACATGTGTTTTATGATCAAGTAAATATAAACAATATATTTATATACTTAAATCTACTCAGTGAGTGTTTAATTCATAGGTTAATATATTCCAACAGAAAGAACTAGTCTAAGCCAAGGAACCAAGCTCCTTGCACAAATAAATATAGATACAATATAAGAACAGAGGTACCTTTTTCCTCCACAATAGGGAACCATTTACCTACCTTTGAGTTCCTATATAGTGTATTACATAGTGTTCTCCCCCCCCCCCAAAAAAAAAACATTGGAACAAACACACACAAATATTAGTACTGATTCCTTACAAGAGCACCTCAAAAATTAATAAACACATAAATACAGTACATAAAGCTAGTACTTCTTTGGGAAAAAAAGTTAGTTTGAAATGAAATAGAAAAAATTAGCACGACAAATTTAAGAAAATGTTAATGTAACACTGAGAGGCATACTTCACTCACAAATGTTGGCTGAGGACAATATAAAGGAGGTGCTGGAAGATATAAGCCATCAGGAACCAAGCCACAGAATTTTCTACTATGATCCTTGGCAAAGTCCATCAAAACCTGAAAGGTTTCTGATAGAACGTCTGCTTCTGCCATAACAGCTGCTTTTAATATTTGTTCTACTGAACTAAAAAGGGCATTTGCATCTTCTTCTTCAATAGGATCTAAAATAAGCAAAAAAGCAGAGACAATAATAAATATATGGTTAAATGTAGAAATATTTTTAGTTCAAAATGATAGCAACACTGAGTTAGCAATATAATTTCCGATAATTTTGCATTTGAATTTTGCAAATGAATGCATTTCATTTCATTCAGACTGTATTCTGAATGTTATAGTACATATGACAGTTCTACTTTCAAAGTGCTGTCTCACTTAATTAACATGGCTAAGGGTCTCTGCTAATGCCAGGAGAATTTTAATCAGAATTTTGATATGCCCATCATTTGCTGCATTTGATCCAGAAGAAAAAATTGCGGACCCTTTGTGTTGCCTCACACTTAAAAATTTTAACAATAACAATATCACTACAATAAAAAGATTTCAATATTTCGTTCATAATAATGGTTTATTATGTTAGTTACAACAGTCAATATATTTCCAGATAAACTCTATAGGGGTGTAACACAAGTATAAGCACAATATTAGTGAATTAAATATCCAAAAAATCTCCAAAAATCATTCATATAGAACAATAAAATACAGAAAAGGCTTCAATGAAAAAATAACTAGCAAATTTGATATGTTATCCAATGACACCTTATCAATGAAAATGAATGGTCATAAAATGAGAGCTATTAAAGTAATATGTGTATGTTTCTGAAAATCTTTAGAAAATGATTGAAAAATTATTAAAGAAATGGAACAGATATATCAGATACTTGAAGAAATATTTTACCTCCATAAATTTAGTTTAGGATTGTATACATTGATAAAAAAATGTACAATAATATTTCATTATTTGGAAGAGTTGATAGCAGGTGGCCTGCTTTTAAATGTCTATTAAATATGTATATTAGGAAAGGCATAAAGAATACCTAAGGATATTTCCACCCTGTTTCCTGATATGAAAGTCACACCATTTGCATGAAAGTGATTAGAAATACTGTATAATAAAAGAACTAATCTATATTAAAAAAAATTGTGCACCTGTGAGTTGCTTGTATCTGAAGTTTCCTTGACTTATTTCATTGTTAGCAGGTTGACCCAAAAAAGATTGTAGCTTTTCTTGAAAAATGTTTGTTGGCATCAAGTGTAATGGCAGGAATAATTCCACTTTCTCTGACCTGAAATTGTATTAAGAACAGGGTAGCTTACTTCAAACTATTCTTGAAATGGCCTCTGTGTAGTCACAAAAGAAAAATATTGATTGAAACAAATGATATTTGTCCCATTCAGTATAATATGAAATTCTGAAAGAGCTAATATTGCACAATAATACAAGCAAAAGAGACCTATTTTTGGCATTTTGCCTTTGATAGAAATGTTTCTTACTACCTATAAGATTATTGCAACTATCACTTCATACATTGTAACTGGAAGGACAGAATCTGCTGGATGATGGAAAAAGAGATGATATCCATACTGTAACTCTACAAGGATTTTAATCTCTTAATAATCTGTGTTAAAAACATCAAAACTATCTCTAAAAGTTGGATTCTTTATCTAGGAATCATCTTTGAAGTTTCAAGATATACGACGAATCCCAAACAACCCAGCTACTTACATTAAGAGCCCAGTATTTATGTCTGAATTACCATACTGCCCAAAAGCATAGTTGCTTACCTATCAGTTATTAAGTAACTATAATTGGTTGGGATGAAACATGCTATGACAAAACCAAGTAAGAGTATGTGAGCTACGCCTTCATCACACAATGTGCAAGCAACCTTGTATCATAACATGTCATTAAAATGGAACCAAAAAAGATGGGAAAATACTACAAAAAGAAAACTGCTCTATTTTTCTGTCACTTCTCTCTGAAGTGGTCCAACAATAAACTTAAGTAGGAAAGGTCATGCTCTATGTTTCTGACAAAATTCTGCTAATTTGGTAGATATTACCTATTTTAGATTTACTAACACAGAGAGAAACACAGAGATTCTCTCTCTCTCCCTCCCTCTCTATCTATCGTATCCATCCAGTGGTTAAGGTGGTAGACGATGGGCAGGAAAACTAAGTTCGTCATCCGTTAGGTACAGAATCTAAATAGATGACTATGGTCCACTTTATTTCTGTTAAATAAAAAAAATGCTGTCCATCAACCTGCCCTTGACCATCATGGTAGCTTATGTTTCGTAACTTTCAAGTGAGGGCCTTTATCCTGCAATAGATTCAGGATGATAATAATGATGATATCTATTTATGATAAATATCTATTCATGGTAAATGCTATAATACCAATTCATGATAAATAATTACTGTATATATTACTGTTTATATATATGACTGACCTTGCAAAGCTTTTATTACTTTGACAATATAGTTGATAAGCCACTCCAATTGAAACAGCCATTTTCCAGTCTCCAAGTTTCTGGGCTAGCCACACAGCTTCTGGAATTAGTCCACTGATTAGCAACAAATCAATAGTATATTCTACAGTCCAAGCACAAGACAGGCCATTATCCCTAACTGCTTCAGTGACTCTGGAGTGTTGCAGAGGAATAATACGAAGGCACTGATCTATAATGAAAAAAATAGTTGTGATGAGTTTATTTTGTTATTAAATTATTCAATCGCCAATCCTATGCAAGCTTACTTAAAAGTAAGAACAAGTGAGTTCTGAGCCTGTTTTCAGATAAGCTGAACACAGCCCTCAGAATAGTAGATCATTTGCATCAGATATCCTCCCACCAATATCCTACTTTTATCCCAGAAATTTAGACCAGCAGCTAGAATTTTTGGTTCTGCAGAAACAAGACCTGTCACATTGGATGCATTTTATAGGAAAAACATTTTTCATTTAGAGAAAGGTCAGAGACAAGTATTATGCCATTAGTTTACTTAAAAGAGAAAAGGAACAGCAGCTAAATAAACTAGATAAATTATACATTAGGAAATAACTACAAAATACTATCCAAAACCCAATAATATCCAATCCATGTTTTGTGCATTTCTATAGGCAGGAGGGAGGAGAACACCTCTCAATAGAGCTCTGTAATGTTTCTTGTCAATATAACAGTAAGCAAACATATGAAACAATATCAAAAGGTACCTGGCTTGATATGAAGTGGAGGTAAGATACCAACACTGTGGGGAGGAAGTATATAAATTGGCCCATTAGTGAAGTAGGCTGCCATGAATCGGGCCAAAGACTGAACCACTGCTAGAGCAGCTTCAGTGTGAACATCTTTTATCCATTCAGGATCTAAAATGAAAATCCAAAAAGTCTGGGGTAACTGAATGAAGTAAAAATCTCAAAATAAGATACAAGATACTCAGCATACAAGAATTCCTTGGCGTTTCAGAAACAAAAGCCAAAGATTGCAATCTTATACTAATGTAGTCTTAGTCTTACTGATCTTAATGGAGCTTACTTCAAATAGAAATAACAACAACAATAACAATAATTTATTTGATGTAAATTGTTCTGCCCAACTCCAGAACAATTCTGGACAGCTCACAATAGTACAAGGAAAATAGTGTACACAATGAGTAAGAAAAGCAACAAAGTAAGAACATAAAAATAAAATACAAAATTGTCAATTCTCCCAACAGCATAAACCTATACATTTTACAAGGGGCTCCAGCCAGTCTCACCATGGGCATGAGAGAACAGCCAGGACTTTAAGACCCTTTGAAATGCTAAATCTGCCTAAACAGTAATGTGCAAAATATTTTGAGCTGAACCATTTTAAATTTCAAACATGTTGTTTTCATGCAAGACAATCAGTGTACTTTGGAGAGAAAGGAGATGTAGCAGATACACTGATATTCAACACAAGATAATAGCCATTTATTCTTAAGCTAGATTTGTGAGGTAATTTTTAAAAAGGAGTTTAAAAGCAACCAAATTAAAAAATGCATAATATAATTCAGAACAGTGTTCTATTATCCATACAGAAATGATGAACATAGTATGTTTATAACACTGTAATAAAAATAACAAATCTGCAACATTAAATACAGTTAGCGATGACTCATTCAGTGAATGTTCAAAATTAGATAGGGCTGAATGAGACTTATGGACGGTTCTCTAAGATGCAACCATCAAAGAGACCCAGTCACATGATTGCAATTTGGGCGCTTGGCAATTGGTTTGTAATTATGATCCCTACAGTGTCCCATGATCATGTGATCGCCATTTGTGACCTTCACTGCTAACTCTCAAAAAGCAAAGTAAATAAAGAAGCTGGCAGGAAGTTGCAAGTCATGGTCACATGACATTGTGTTTAATGACTGCAACTAGAACTGCTGGACTAAGATGGTGCAAACATTTTTCACTTTATGACCATGTTGCTTAGTAACTGAGTTGCTGTAACAATTATTGTCATTAACTGAGTACTACCTGTATTATTATAAATAACTTGACTGATGAAAGAAGAATTCTACATTTACATACCTGTTATAACATCTCGGTTTCTTACAGAAATTTGATTTTGTTTTAGAAGTTCATATACCAGATGATCACACAGACCCTGAGCCTCACTTACATTATAATGATAGAGATGGCAATATAAAATAGCAAGATAATATCGAGTTTGAAGGAAGGGTATTCTCTTTCTTCCTATATTTAGAAAGAAATAATTGGATAAAAGCTAAAAAACATAAATCCTAGTTGTATAAAAATAAACCCTATGCATATATGAGTGCAAATCTACTTCTCAGATCCATATTTATAAATGAAAACAGGAATACATGATGCAAATACAATTATATTAGAATACATTTCATTTGAATCATTTGAGTAAACAGTAATTTAGACAAGATTAACTGAATGATTTTAAAACTTCAGTTCTTTAGCAGCATTATTGCAAAGAGAAATTAGCATAGGCAAATTCTGCGTGATAGTTTATAACTATTAAGCTTAACTTTTAATAATTTTAATTATGTTATTTTTACTTCTGGCTTTTTCTTAACTGCACCAAATGCTGTATTACTAGATTCTCTGTGTCTGCATATACCCAATAACAAAAGTGTGGGGCAGCTTTAGAAGTCTCCCATTCAGTTATGTACCCATATTACCTTTATTTCTATTTCATACTATCTTTCTCTCTCCCCGTGTTTCCCTATGCAATCGCAAACCCATTTAGGATAGGAATGCTGTGGTGGGAGTTCTACCTTTCTCTCCAAGCAACAGAATTACTACTTTAAGAGGCTATATAGGCAGAGTATGAAAGACAGATTAAAGAGAAAACAGTGTGGTAGGTTGACAAGCATACAACTATTCTGTGGAAGAGGACCCAAAACAATTGCTAAAGTGATGATAGGAGAGTGAAAGGGAATTCTAAGGGTGGTAGCATAGGAAACATCACACGTAAGGTACTTAAAGTCTGCATGCTGTAAGATTATTAACTGAAACTACACCACATTGACAATTTGTATACTTTTATCTTGCCTCGCTATGCTGGATGCAGGCCAAGAAGAGAGCTTGTGTTCCACCATGCAATTGTGGAACAGGAACAGGATGAAAGGGTCAGATTGAAACTTGAAATAAAAAGAAATACCAAATTATTAGCTAAGGAATATGCTTCAATACATAATATCAGATGACTTGCATTGAAGAGTATCGAAGGAATTTCCTGAAGCTCAGTTAAGATCACACCTTAATACGCAGGTAGTCCTTGCTTAAAGATGGTAATTGAAATTGGCAACTCTGTTGCCTTATTCCTTTTGTGCAATATCACCTTTTTAGATTATAAACAGAAAGAATTGTACTGGTTTACCATCACTGAACTATTATATATACTTCCAAGGTAAAGAGAAAGACATAAAAGCTTTAAATTAGAGCTTGTCTGATGTCAAATGCCCTCTTGAAAGTCTTAACAGCAACCTTCCTTACAGACTGCTGCTTGGGATAGAAACAATCATCACAGAAAAATGGGGAGCATAAAGGGTGAAAAAGGATATAAGAGTTAGAAAGACCTTGTCATCTACTTTTGGCTTTGGCCCCATTCACTTTTTTCTTCTACTCTATCTACCATGCCACTTCAAAGAGACTATCTTTGAGAGACTGAAAACAATGCCAGAAAAAAATGACCAACCATATCTCTTTAAACAAGTAATTTTTGCAGGGAGGACTAACCCTAAAAATGGAACCAATATCGTACCTTTTGCTTTTGTTTCCTGAAAAGCTCTCTCCCAGGCCTCCATAGACTTTTTATACGATCCTATCAGAAACTCTTCCTCACCTTAAAAACAAATTGAAATCTAACATTTAAACAAATCTTAATCTTCAGCCCAGTTTGCTTGAGATCAATAACCATGAATTATTTTGTTCTCACATACATTACATAGAATTAGAAAAAAAATTATTTGTATGAATAAGTTCACTGTGGGTATTGTCAGGAACTCATTTTGTTTCTGAAAATAGACACATGGGAACATTAACCCTTTGTTGGATATCTCATCCCACTGAATGCAGAATTTAACATCAAATCAGCCCCTTAAATTGTGTCAGTTATTAGCATTGCAGGTGGTGGAGGATCAATTTCATATTTACATGTATATATTTATGCAAGGTATATGAAGTGATGGTGGTTTCAAGAGACTAACCATTCACAGACTTGAGATTCAGAAGTCGTTCCAAGCTTTCTCCCGAAGACTGTAAGATTGCCTGTATATGACATGCAAGTGCTTTGATCACTGGAATTTCCTGAGCAATTTGGATTTCATTCACTGATTTGTTTGAGTTATTCACTTTTCTGTTTAGTTGTGCCCAATACCAAATCACATGCTTATACAAGTGTCGCCAGATTACAGTTAACCTAAGTTTAAAAAGAATTAAACATATCACAAAGTCACAAATTAAAGAAAACTATTGACTAATCCTTACATATTCCATTACATATTCCATTCAGTAGAAGAAATCTTACGCTATTATTTCAAAGGGAAATCACCAGGAAATCCAGGGCTGCAAACTAGGCCCATAAATAATAATGGAATTTCACACTGTATTATAGTTATTATTATCAAATGATTCAAAGAGTAGATTGTATGAAGAAACAGTAGATCAGATATTCAGCTCATGCAAGATTACACCAACTGATTATGAACAGTGGCATAACACAGTCACCAAAATTAGTCACTGGAACATCTGTAAAAAATATGTGACAGTAATGAAAAATTGGTGGGAACACAGAGTTGAAAAAGTAGTTGAAAATAAGGTTAAATATTATGGGATTATTATGAGCCAAGACAAACTGGTAATGTCTTGGCTCATAATACACAGATTTAATTGTGGTTTAAAAAAAGAAAGTGTGATTAATTGATAGGCAATACCAGGAAATACTAGAATATTATACAAGACAAAGAATTGGAGAAGATCACAAAGTATTAAGATCTGAAAACTAATGTTGAAAGATTATGGCATAAATTGGCTCTGGCGGTCCCAGTGGTTATCGGCATCTAGGTCTCATACTACAATCTATTATAGGTGTTAAGAGACCAGAAGGGGTACCCAAACTCAAATTTTGCATTTTACTTGTCCCAGAATTCTTATTTACAATATTTTATTCATGATTCAAATTACATTATACATCAAAATAGTAAAATATTTAAAGTAGTAATTTTTATGCTAGGAATACCTTTTTTCCTGATTCTCAGTTCGATTTGCCATTGGAAGAGAACACGTTAGCACAGAATGTAATGCACAGTGCTTCTGGTGACTATTCCAATCCATGCTTTGAAACAGAGGAACATCAATAGAATCTAGTTCCACTTTATTATTACCACTCAGATCTGCTAGAACAACTTCATACTGTGGTATTTTTTTGGCATTTAAATAATGAATAACCATCTTCAGCAAGGAGAAACCCCCCAAAAGATTAGTGGAGAAAAGGTGATCTTGTGGTTCTGCAAGTATCAGTTTTAAGGTCTGCATTGTGAATTTCATTAAATGCCCCAATGTTTGTCTGTGTTGATCTTCCCAACTTAGGACAGTCAAAAATTGTTGGAAACAGTTTAAGACACATTGTATCCATGACTGATTCTTGACAGGATCATCTAATTCTTTAAGTTTCACATGCTGGAGAATGTTAAAAAAGTGTACAATGCAACGAATGTTAAAATTTAATAATATATCTTTTTCTTTTATACTTTTTGAAATGCCCACTCTCCAAGCGGCGATGAGATTTTTTTGAATATGGTTCAGTTCAAACAATAGGCCATCTTTTTTTCTCTCTGTTCCATCTATTGCATGAATTGTGTCAAACATTGATGCGAATTCCAGCTGGCCTTCATCACCTAAAGAGAAATCTGCTTTTTGGCTTCCCAAAATATACGAATTACTTTGAAAAAAAATGTCATCACTGGATTCTTCATTGCATTCCTATATTAAAAAAGTGATATACATCTGAAAGAAGCTTATTTGTGACACATGTATCAGTAGTAATTATAGATACAAATATATATATAATATCGTATATATACTGAACACAATATTTCTCTAAGTGCTGTCTACAAACAGTTGCAAGTGAGATATCTAAATCCTTTATGGGAAAGAAAAAAATTAAATTGTATGTTGAAGAATGGAATGGAATCCATTCCATTAGTGACCTTCTCTATTGCTAAGGAAATTGTAAGGATGGGAACAAATACTTTATGAATCTTAATTAAGTATCCAAAGCAAGATAGTATCTGCAGGACTTTGACTGTTAGCATGCGGATGATGGGGGAGTAGATGAGTGTGCTTGTGTTATGCTTGTTGGATAAGTTTAATTTGGCCTTTTAAGCTATCACATTAATATGAATGCAAACAGGCAACAATAGAAAAATTGGGAAAAAGTAAAAGATGATTGAGCAAATTTGCACAATTACAAAAAGTAATCCTATTCAATTCACTTTTCTTATGCAGTGCTGTTCCATTGAGAGGAAGAAACAGTTCTGAATAAGTGGAAAAGGCTTTTTGCTCATTTATGACAAAACCCTTGGAACTAAGTTCCAGAATAGTCTCCTAACTAAAAAAAAAAAAAACTATAATCAAGATTTTCAGCCATACAAAAATTTATTTATTATAAATAATTCAAGGTGGCAAACATTCATAATATTCCTTCCTCCTCCTATTTTCTCTACAACAATAATCTTGCGGGTTGAGTTGGGCTGAGGAGTGAACGACCCAAAATCACCTAGACTCCTAGAGAGTTTTCATGCATAAAGTGGAGAGTCTCCTAGTTTCTATCTTGATACCTTAATCACTAGACTAATCTGGCTCTATGGCCAGTTTGGCATATGAATGTTTCGATATCTGTTCAGCAAGATGTAAATAAATACTTAACCAAGGTGAAATGTTTAATATTTTTGTGCAGGTTCATTCTAAGTTAAAATTAAGGATCCAGTGTCACGTAAATAGCCTTCTGAGCACCAGGAGATGGTGAAGAGTTTTTTAAAAGGAAGATTTATCCTTACCAACAGAAGATCTCAAACATAAAATACTACATTGATATCCTCCAAACAAATAAAATGGCCTTTCTATATGACAATTATTTTAATTCACATTACATTATTAAATCTTCTACTATTTATTCATTATGATTTAAAATTATTAACACTAATCATTCAATATTATAAAGCAATCAGAATACCTGGAATAGTGATACTTCTTCATTTAGTTCAGTGCCTCCCTCTTCTTCTTGTAGAAACTTTGGAGTGCCAGAGAAAGTAGAAAGTTGATTTTCATATTGTAAGAGATTAGCTCTTAAAGAAGACAATGATTGCAGTGGCTGCTTTTTCCCCTCAGACTACGGAAGAAAACAATATAACTCTTTTACTGTTAGCATCATTTAATTTTTTTTTCTCTCCTCAATTTCTGAATGCAACAGTTGAAGCAAATCCTGAAACTGGTGACGTGGTAGATCACAAAACATATGATTTATATGGTTTGATCTTTCTGGATATCAGCAACATAAAATACATACAGCATTAACCATGCAGAAATGGCAATATGGCCAGAAGAGTGAATAATCACAGCACTGCAAATAAAATTGAAAAAGTATTTTAAAATATTATTTTAAAATATCTGGCTAAATAAAACATTTTTCCTATTGCTCTTGAAACAATAAAGTTAGGACCAAATGTACCCCTCCAGAAACATATTTTGTAACTGCTGTGCTGCTACCAAAATGGCACACTGGATATTTACCAAGGAAATATTAATTTGAGTTTAGCCAACAAAACCCTTAGTAAATTATCCATTCATAGGTATAAGAAAAATGGAATAGGTGGTAAAAAAACACCTGCAGAATAAAAATGGATTATGTACTCTTGTGATATTTATTTAAAAAATATCAACGAAACCACACTCAACCCTTCACTTGCCAAAGACACTGTACTTTTTAGAAATTCTTATGAGATAAAAAGACAGATTCATAATTTTTACCCTGTTATAATTCTCTATCTGAAATACTGTGCCATTTGGAATCTGGAAAATGCCTAATGAAATGTGGGTCATGAAGTATAGGCATAATCTATTTCTATGCTCAATAAAATGTCAGCATCAGATCATATGAAATGAACTGTAAGGCTTTTATCTGTTCCTGAAGAAGAAAAACAATTTGACTACATGATAGCAAGCATGAAATGACTCTGAAATTTTAAGCAGGAGAATAAAGAGATGTATAGAAGAGAGCAATAGGAGACATTTTCAGAAGAAAATAATACAAGTAATCCTCAACTTATGACCACAATTGAGTCCAAAATTGCTGTTGGTAAGCAAGACATTTAAATTAAGTGAGTTTTGCCGCATTTTATTACCTTTCTGGCCAGTTATTAACTGCAGTTGTTAAGTTAGTAATATAGTTGTTAAGTTGTTAAAGAAACAAAAAAAATATTTTGTAAATAGCAACTGTTCTGTGGCCATTTTCAGAAAGGAATCTATAGACCTTAATTGCAAACCAATATTACATTGTATTAGAAAATTAAGAAAGCAGTTGTACCTTGAATGTGATCAAATTATGATGCAACTTTTCTAGTCTTTGAGCTGAATCAAGCAGCAATGACTTCGTATAGGTAGAAGGTGAAAACTCACTGGAAAATTTAAGAACTGTAACCATGTATCCATCAGAGGCAATGAGATAAGGCAAACTGGAGTGACATATTACAGAAAATCTCTGCCTCATGAAGTCTCCTTCAGAAACTGATGAATCATTAGAATTCAAGAAAGAGTTCTGTGATCTAGCAGACAGAAGAATAAATCAACAAAATAGAAGATTAATGTACAATATCATAAAGCAAAAATGTTTATCTCACTTAAAAGATTTATCATTCTCTTATATTAGGCTAAATCTCCACCCTGAATATGTTAAGCTGCACTCATAGGAAATGAGTAGAGGCCTTGAAAATGGAGGTAATCTTTCTTGCCCGTGCCATTTTTGTTGCCTGAGAATAAAAGAATAAGTGAAAAAAATGAAATCTTTAAATTAAAATATGAATTTATCTTTGGCAAAGAAGAGCAAGACCGCTCGCTTAATTCCCTCTGGATCAGTGGGTCTCAACCTTTTTAATGCCGCGACCCCCAATCTGTCGTAAGTCGAGGACTACTCAACCGGTCGTAAGTCGAGGACTACTCAACTGGTGCAGCACCATTTGCAGAATGGGACTTTTGGCGGGCTCAGCAGGGCAGAGACAGCCTGGACAATTCCTATTGGCTTTTGAAAGCCAATAGAATTAGACTCTATTCAAGAGAGTCTATTCTATTGGCTTTCAAAAGCCAATAGAATAAAAGGGAGTAGCACAGCTAAGGAAAAGGGGAAAAAAATGGCGGACTGCGTTGTTTGGCGACCCCCGTGAATGGTCGTTCGACCCCAAATGGGGTCCCGACCCACAGGTTGAGAACCACTGCTCTGGATTATCATGCTCACCAACCTTTATCTTTATCTTTTATTGTAATTTTTTTATTATTGTGAGCCAGCCAGAGTCATTGAGAGTTGAATAGCGTAAAGGTTTAACAAATGATTATTGTTATTAGAAATTATATGGAAGAAAAACATAAAGTTCAGATAATTTTTTTAAACCTCTTTTAATTATCTCACCTGTGTGTTATTAATGGATGTAGAGGAATGAATTCTGCTGGTCCAAATTCTATAGAGCAGCCATAAGTAACTAAAGTCATCAATTCACCCAAGCATGTCATTATGATCAGAGATCCACGTTTTAACATGCAAACCAAAAACAGACTATCAGGAGTCCAGCTCATGTCAGAAATCCAGTAAGACCTTCAACAACAAATAATACTTTCAGGAACATGCAACTAAAATATCCACACTGGATTTCAAAATATCCTCTGGGGGGAAAAAAGCTGATTTCCTACTGACCTTATTAATTTGGATGGAATTTTGGGATTCCTGCTACCACAACCTTTAAGACTCCCTGAAGTAGTAATAAAATTCTTAGTGCTCATAAACAAAATTTGAGTTCCCTGAGTATTATAAAAGAAACAGGAAAAGGAAAATATATTTAACATGAACAAAATACCAGGATAAAATTTAACTGTTAATGCCTCCTTATGTTTATCTTTTTTTAAAAAAATTGATCATCCTTTTATAAATTATTTATTGAACATAAATGCTGATTCTGGACAGGATACAAAATTACTCTGCTCCTTGATTACATTGCAAGTCTCTTTGCCAAATATAATTTTAAACTTTAAGACATAAAGAGTAATATTAAAGACCGCTTTGCTGAATATAATTTTAAACTTTAAGACTTTAAACTTTAAAGAGTAAGATTAAAGATTGCACTGCCAGAAGGAAGTGGTGCCCCATCTCCTTCCTGGAAAGCAGTAACATATTCTTTTAATAGGAGGAATTATATCAAGTAGACTGAAGACTGGGGGGGGGGTTCCTTAAAAATGGGCAGAGGTAGGGGTGACTAGCCAGTTTACAGGGATTTCCTTTTATTCTATAGCTTTGCATGCCAGATAGGTTCTGTGATCATATATAAATGTAGAAAGTGATGGTTGCCAAGAATTGAAGGCAATTGCATTCTAGGCATCTTCTTCTACCAGGGTGATACTGGATGTATTCAAAGTAGTTTACAAAGCCAAACTTAATAAAAGGCACAATATTAATAAAGTCACTTTCTTATTATGCTTTTAACATTGGTACCTGTAGATCCTTTTGATTGAGAGCTATTGCTTGCACAAGTCCATCATGTGAGAATTCAGTAAGCAAAGCACCTCTTGACTTCATGCATTCACAAGAGGGAGCCAAATTAAGCAGAGAGCACGTTTGTTGTGCCCAATGTGTTTGACATGGAACAGAGCTACATGGAATGAAGAAAAAAATGCATATTACAGGAAAAATGGAAAATAATTTTATTGATGTATACAGTCAAGATTTTCTTCTTGGTAAAGAATGCAGAGGACGTTGTTATTAGACACGAACTACAAATAGTTTAACCCGCCTGCTTCACACTCCATTTTTATTAGCTACATTGTCTGGAAAGCTAAACTCAGATTCTTTGAAATTAAAAGTTAAGTTAGTTGAGCTGTGCAGTTGAAAAATAGTGAATGAGATGCCATGTTACTCCTAGGCTTCACTTAAGCTCCTTCTATCTCATCTACTGCATATTATGATTTAGTGTAATATCGATCTTAATTTTCTGGAAGTTATTAGAAATTTTTAGGAAGGAACCATAGATTATATATGTTCCTAAAATATACATTCAAATGCCAAGGGGAAAAATATAATACTCTCTCTTTCATTCATATATGTATGTATGTATGTATGTATGTATGTATATTTCTATGCACACATATAAATGACATTTTCATCCATAAACTGATATGCATCTTATTAAATATCTGATATAAACATCTGCATTTAAAAATCAGAATATTTATGTTTTACCTTGCATTTTTTAAACCGTTCTCCTGCCATTTGATCTTCAAAAATATCAGTACCAGTTGGGCCTCAGAATAAAATGCAAAAGAACCCAAGCAACATTCTCCCAATATCTGTCAACGAATCAACATTTCTGAATAACTCACTTGAAATACCTATAAATTTTTTAAATGTATATGATAATTATTCATATTTTATCATGTGGCCAGCAATTAAGATGTTATAGAAGACTTAATCATTGTATTAACCCATAGAAATTTAAACTGCAGTAACAATGAACTATTTTGCATATGCAATATTATGATTTGGATTCTAAGCTCTACTGTTGTCTGGAAAAAGACATGCACAAAACAGCAGAAACAGCAATATGTTGCCACTGCATGCAAACATGTCAGTGCAAATAGATAAGACGAAGATGTTGGGCATTAAATATGTTCTAAAAAGGAACTATAAAAAGTGTTGCAAGATAGAAGACTCCCTATTCATGATCCCAGTCATTCAATTTTACCCCTTCCTGAACAATGTCAGGATTTAGCTTACCGTATATACAGGTAGTTCTCAATTTATTACTGTAATTCATCCTAGAATTATAGTTGTTAAGTAGTGCCAAGCTGAGCATTATATTATCAATCCAATTTTACAATACTTTTTTGCAATGATCGTTAAGTATATGTGTGAGACAGATTTTAAGTGAACACAGTGGTTGTTAAATGATCCTGTTTGTAATGGGATTTTTTTTGCCAAAAACAGGAAGTAAAAGCTGTTTTCTGGCAAAAATAAAGGGTTGTAAATCAAGGTCATATGTACATGGAATGCTGCAAACAGCTGTGAATGTGGACTGCCTGTTAAGCACCCAAAATGTGACCATGGGGGTCAGCCACTGGAACTTTCAATCCAAGTTGTAAGTATTTTGGGGGTCCATTGTAACTTCAAATACTTGCTAAGCTAGTCATTAACTAAGGGCTATCTGTACTCTGTACAAGCCCATCCTAAAATTTTTTAACTGACATACCATGAAAAATGTGCCACTCTTTTTCATGGTATTTTGGTTAAAAACTCAAGGGTCAGCTTATCTGCCAAGGAGCTTTCATATGAATATATGTGGAAAATACATATACTTTTAACAAGTATTACCATATATATTCGCTGATAAGCCCATCCCTGACATAAGCAAAACCTGATATTTCGGTATCTAAAATTCTTGGTTTATCCAGAAGTCTGTACTTGAGGGTGGCAGGTCAGGCTGCATAAGCAGCATAATTCTCAGTCTGATTATGAGGAATACAGGCAACAGCCACAGATTCAATATAAAAACAAATATTTACTCCAGATAAACACACAATAATCTTCAACAATAACCAGAATTACATGGCTGTTATAACAAAAGTCACTATATATATATATATATTTGAAAAATACTTGATTGTCAATAAATGAGATATATTTTATATTTTACCTCATTTTCAATAAAATCAACACTAACTACAGTTTCCTTCTCTTTGATGGTTGGTAACACAATTGAAGCTTCAGGAATAATTTGGGACCACTGCCCCATTGCAGAAATTTGGAAAGGTGTTGCTTTTGATTCTATGCTTTCCCACAATAAAACACAGACATCTAGAGTAGCAAGAAGTATTTTATTTCCATTGCCGGAAACACGTAAGCATAACCTCAAGGAATGATCTAGAAAATAATGTAGTGTTAGAATTATTCAGTTCTTCTAAATTTACTCAAAATATTTAGTTAATTTATTACAACAAAACACATGCTATCACAAGCAAATATAGTTTCTTGTATGAAATCAAGAAGTAGAATAAAGAATTTGTATGTTTTATCATGTATGTTTTTTACTGCAATAAGCAACACACTTTATATGTGGTAATAGCTTCAATAACCATATATTATAGATACTAATGTGTCATTGGCATATGACAAATAATTAGGAGCCTTGATATTTACGAAAAATACTATAAGAAAAATGACAATTTTTAAATTACAGTTCTTAATATTTTTTAAAAAACATGAGGTTTTTTAAAAAAAAGATGAAAATGAAAAAAAAAAATTTGGGGACAATTATATTGGTTGAACAATCATACCTTGCACTGCCATAGCAACTTTTTTAGACTCCTCTATGGCTGGAACAGTTTTTATAATGTCATGATCCTTGTTCCAAAGAAATAGCTCTCCTGTTTTAAGCATTCCTGCCAACCAAGCTCCTATGTGAAAAAGATTAAAGTGCATCAATTTAGAATGTGATCTGATATTTACATATACTCATATGCACTATAAGCTTCACTCTTTTCAATGAGACTCCTTCCAGTTAAATGTATATTCAATTAAGGTCTAATATTCCAAATACATGAATAATTTTATATCATAATGTATTTATGACCAGAAAAAGGGTTAATTTACATCCAAAACAAATGAAGAACTGCTGACTTTCGCCATTAGAAATTTCTTTATATTATATAAAAACAGAAGTTCATATACTTAGGTAAAAGGAATTGATACTATAATACTTAACCATTTCTTGAGGTTGATAATACAATAACATTCTTCAGAAAAGTCTGTAATTGTGGAATCTTCTTTTTTGTCTTTCCAGAAAGCAGGTTAATTTCCTGTATGTTTTTGTCATCCAATAGAAAAACAGCCTCTTTTTGCTATTAAAAGAAGTATCAGTCTTTTATTTATAAATTACTTTTTTCTTGCTAATGAATATCTGGATTAATTCAAGAATTCTGCTAGCATTATAATAAATAAATAAGAAATAAAAGTAAAAAATTAAGTAACATAATACTTGATTTAGAAACTCTTTTCTTGACCCTTCCACAAAGATAAATGTTCTTTGAAAACAAGACTTTTCTGCTGTTCAATTTTTTTTCTGCAGCAAAAAAGATCTGATACAAAATTTTAATAACAACAATAATTGTAATAATTAAGATTTATAAGATATCCAAATCAGAGATTCAATATAGTTTACAATTAAAAACTCAAAGAAACAAATACTTAAGGAGAGTATATAAAAAGCAATGTCAACCATCCCACATTGATTATCACTGATTCAGTTATAAAATGCCATAGTACAAAGCCAGGTTTGAACATATACTGTATGTTTTATTTTAAAATAGCAAATACTTAAAAATATAATGAATAAAAAACTTTTCAAGCATTGTAAGAATAAAATGTAAAAGTAACACGATTAGTATTGCATTTTAAAATATCCTGAATCAAATAACTTCAAAAAGTAAATAAACTGCAATAACAAAATTAGCATAATATGAATCCGAGATTGAACTGAAAAATTCTGTTCTGCCAAAGAACTTTATCTTTAGTTATTAAAACAAAAGTTTAGATAAGAATGCTTTACGTTAAGAAAAATTCAAACTTTTGGATATTCAATGTTTTTCTAAAGCAAAGTAGATATTTTAACTTTCAATGATGCATTTTTCAACTGCTCAGACAGTATTTATTCTAATTCCTAAAGATTTATAGATTGATTATTGCTGTTACTATATTACTCAGATTTGCACAATGACCTGAAGTTATGCCAGTAAGATTTAATTTTTGAAGGAATGTGCCTTTAATGTACAATATATAAAACATTATATATAATTACCTCTCCTAGCCAGGTGATTCGAGGCCATGGCTTCTTCTGTTTGATACATGTAGAGGCTAGTACCTCTAATTTGATTTTCATGATTATTAAAACATATGAGAATCCGTAAAATTTATCAGTTTAAATAGCCTTTAAATGGTTCCTTAAGAAAAATTCAACAGCATCTCTGCAAAACAATTTAAAGTTCTTAACTATTGACATAATTAAATCAGAGATATAATTTCCATGTGTTCCTATACTATCATTATTTCAAAGTAACATTCAATACCAAATACTAGAGGACATGTCAAATAGGCTTTAAGATAGCATCTCAATTCAGAACACCAGCAAACAGGTTCAATGCGCTGTCTAACTTGCATATTTGAATCCCTCTACTCTGAGTCATCCAACTGGACCTTTTGCTTTACTGGAAAATGATAGGCACCTGAGCATGCATAGAAGAGTTTTGCCATCTGGATAAAAGCAGAGCAGCTGCTCAGACCTGCTGCTTTAAAGGGTACTTGTTCAAAGAGTTCTCAAAGCCAGGCAGACTTTTGAATAACTGCATAGGTCTAGGGATTACTGATTCATGAGGATTATAGGATGAATCAATGATAGCCACCTTGTGCAAAAATTTAGCAGGTCCAAGATTATATCAATGAAACTATGCACAAGATAAAGATATACAAATCTCCCTTCATTCAACTTCACTGAATGATCCCAAAATCTAATATTAGTGATAAGAGGAAAAAAAAAACTATCTACATCAAGCATACATCTATAAACATGTACTGCTTCTGCCTTACTTTCCATTTTTCCAAGTTAAAAGCCCTAAACGTCATAATCATTCCTCAGTCATTCTTGTTGCCCAATTTTGCAACTTGTTAAGCTTTTCTGAGATAGGATAATCCAAGTATGATCACACTTGAAGGCTTATACATTGATATGATATTGGCAGCATCTCTTTTGGTTCTTCTTCAATTGGCTCCAACATAAAATTTATATTTTTAAGAGCTGTACCCTGTTCTTCATCAAACTGCCCATTACAATCTTAAGATCTTTCTCATTACTTGGTAATGAGTAATAATTTCTAATGATCGGTTATAATCCTATTCCAACACTATCAGAACATAAACTTGTGACATTCAGTGTCAGAAGATGTGTCAATGATCATGGATTTAGAAAGCTTTAAAGGGAAATGTGTCAAGTTCATAGGTTTTTAGAGCAGCGTGACACACCTGAGTTACTTCACAATATGCACTACTACAAAGATCCAGTTTTTAGATTGTTAAAACAGCATCATCTCTGTATGATTCCCGTAAAAGCTCGTCTCAGCTGATTTTGCAGGCATGTACATGCAGACCCATTTTGTTTGTGATCCTATGCAAATAATTTGGATTGTTTCTGAAGCACTTGAGAAGTACTTCATTTGAGTTAACATATACATAGAAATTTCACATAAATTTGAAGTCTAGATCCATAAGTATATCGGTTAAACTGTACCTCCTGTATGAAGCAACCATGCCTGTTTTTTGCCCATAAAGTTCCATAAAACATTTTGGCTGGTAAGAATCAGGATGCTTTGCTAGATGAAGCTCTTTCTGATCAGACTGGATTCTTCTTGATTTCCAGAACCATTGCTGTTAGCCTGTTGCATATACATAACTTATTTATTTACTCTCATTTGTATCATTGCCAATCTTATATAAAGTGACACTGGGAGATGTACATGGTAATAATCAAGAATGTATGAAAACCATTAAAACAAGCAATTTAAGATAAAAACAAAACAGAAGGAAAACGTACAAAGAGGACATTCCATTAACTATTATACAACCATCTAAAAGGTTCTACTCTACTCACAGGATCCCTATGCTAGCTGACAAAAGCTATGTTTTAAGGGCCTTTTTATTTATTTGATACTTGTATATCACTTCATCAATACACAAAGCAATTTGACAGTTGTAAAAACCATATCATCAAACCACAATATGACATCAAAAATACTGTGGATGGAAACTAATCAAGAAGATATACAACCTGGAATTAAGGAGAAACAGTGAGGACAATTGACCAATGGAACAGCTTGCCGTCGGAAGTTGTGGGTGCTTCACACAATGGAGTTAAGAAGAGACTGGACAACCACTTGTCTCAAATTATATAGGATCTCCTGCTTGAGCAGGGGATTGGACTAGAAGACCTCTAAGGTTTCTTCCAGATCTATTCTGCTTATTATTTAATTAAAAACGAATACTACCATCAGCCCAGCTGTTTAAGGTAACTAGTCTTGAACCTTGTAATCTCAAGAGAAAGGCACTGATGTAAATGACTAATTTAATGAAATTAACTCAGAAAAGTAGCTCAGAGTGACATACATGGCTGTTTTCTCCCCTACACAGAATGACAATTTCCACCCAGGGAACTTAACACCTGACTACTGCATCTAATTGATTATAGGTGACCTAAAAAAACCACACAGTATTCATCTCTGGCTGACTGGATGGGAGACCACCAGGAAATCCAAGGCAACAGACTAAGTGAGAAGTAAAGTATCCCAGGAGGCAATGACATGCTACTTCTATAATATTGCTTTTTTTAAAAAAAGAAACTCACATGACCATGGTATCAAAAAGAACTGCCCTGGATTCATGAGAGAATACTTAGAGAATATTCCAATCTTAATGATGCTTCAAAGCACACTCCTGCCCACGTTCTCTCCAGTTTCACTGTGTTAAAAAGCCATGTGACTTCCAGAGCAGTGAAAAATATAAATCTATTTAATGGCTCCCTCACATCTCTTGCTCCTCGGATGACTAGTACACGATCCCCAGGCCGGCAAAGCCAATGGGAACTGTGGTGCAATAGATGTGGAGGAGGGCTCCAGGATGGATGGATGGATCCTGCGGGAACAGCAGCCCTGCCTCTGCCCCCGCCTTCTGTTTATGCCTAATTGCCTGTTAAGGGCTGCTTTGCAACGGGGCGCCTCCCTTACGCTTCGTGCAGGAGCAGCTTGGCTGTCGTGCTGTCTCCTTTTCTTGGCCCAGCAATCGCTCGCGGCCGTCCGATCCCGCCTAAGACAGAATGGAAGAGACACAGGCACCCCATTACTCACCGCTCCCACATTTAGCCCAACAGCTTTCCTTTCCATGACCCAGGTTGCCAGCCGAAGGGAGGAGCGCGACTACTACGCATGCGCTTCATGGAGCCCGTTCCAACGGTAAACAGGGAAGCTCCGCCCCTAACGCAGCCGACGCGTCTTGTTCTGCGCCTCTCACTGGGGTCTGGTCTGGGATTCCGCATATTTTCGAATTCAGAACTTCTGCCCAAAATATCGGACTTTTTAACGAATTCATCCAGCAGTACCCAGCAGCCTCAAGAAGCTAAGCAGGAGACCAAGAGGAAGCCTCCGGATTTAAGATTAGACGGAGAAGTTGGAGAAAAAAGTCCTAGGGAAAGGGGAACGGCTTCCAGATGACTGCCAAGAGAACTAATGAATTTGTTCCTTCAAAGCCACAACTTGACTTGAGGGAGTCTTAATCTTAAAGCAGTTCATCACTGCCAGCAGTCACAGCACAGAGTACTGGCTGACTAGGGTGTGCTTAGTACTTGGATGGGGGACCGCCAGGAAAGCTTAACAGTGTACATTGGAAAAAAAAAACACAACCAAACAAAAATCCTGAAAGGAGCTGGCAAGTTCCTTCAATAATATTGCCAGGGGGGAGGAGAGAGAGAAAGAGAGAGAGAGAAGAAGGAAGGAAGGGGAAGAAAGAAAAAGAGAAAGAAAGAAAGAAAGAAAGATGGATGCAGAGATGTGCACATGAATTTATTGGTAGTTGAGCACAACTAAAAGACTTGTTTTGCTAGCTGGACCTCTTGTGCTACATTAGTATCCTTCAACCAGCATGGGCTTTGTTTACAGTCCCACAGGTAAGCAGAAAGGCATAAGGTAGGTTTAAGAGCAGAAACCAGCCTGGTGCTTCTAGAGTGGTTATGTCATCACAACCTAGGCATCTCTAGGCAACCCCTCTGGAAGGCATTAAACTGGGGAAAAGAACACAAACTTTGTGGGTGATGATATAATTAGGTGAAAGGAATGTGAGAAGTGGTTTAATAAACAAGTAGATAGGAGGGAATATCCATCTGCTTAAAAGTTCCTATTGCAGCAATATAATACTTTTTGAGGAATGTCATTTTACTTTGGGCTAATAAAATAAAATGGTCTCTCCTTCCTGCTACATATACTGTCAGCACTCCCAGGTAAATGAGACAGGAAATATGACTAGATGAACTACTGTAATTTTACTTTATTGTAAGGCTGTTGACAGAATCTTGCAAATTGGAAGGTACAAATATGACACTACTTTTAGCCCTCTGATCAATTAGGGTGAGTCAGTCCTTCCTATGTTTCTTCCTCTGACCATTAAATCACTGGGGGCTCCCTCCTCTCATCTGATCATTTCCTAGGCAGCATTTCTTTCCCTAGCAGCTTGAGACCATTGTCACATAACCATTACACATATATAGAAGACTGGTTATAAACACGTAGAATTCTAAACCCCACTAAGGACTCATTGTTTTACTTGGAAATTAAAAGCACCTTATATCAAGTTGGATTCCTGGACATATCCATATTGTTTCCTGGATGGTAACACAGTATGGAAATTATTTGGTATTGCCTTTTTTCTAGATATTTTAATACTCAGTGTTCCGTACTGAATACTAATAGACGTAACCCATCTTAGCTTTCTGAGTTAGTTCAAGCTTGCTAATGGCTATTGAATCGAAGGCACAGTATAAGTAGTACTAGTGGCTAACTCATGGATTTGTCTTTTTGGCATCCCCTGGGCAATGGTGATGGCACTGGCTAATCATTTCAACCCGGAAGTGCCTTAAACTGTACTTTCGACATGAACAGGAAGGGAATGTGTGTTTTTAAGAACCAATATAGGAATGCACACTTAGTACCCAGTTATTTTTATTATTGCATTAAGACAGCCTACACTAATAACTTAGCAGCCAGCACAGGAACTGTACTTCAACCCCATGGATGATCAACACTGAAAGTGCCTACATTAAGATCTTAGTAAAATACCAACATTATTTTGATACTAAACGTGATATTGAAGAAACTAAAAACCTCGTTCAAAAATTAAATAGTAATGTTACTTATGTCCTATCCTTTCTAAAAAGTTCTGTGCTGTTTATAAAAAATTCTGTTTTTGAATGTCAGAATATAGTTGTTGGTTTGTTTGTGGACCCAAGTCAAGGTGTTGGTTATCCCCTTTAAAACCTTTCAGGGCATGGGATCAGGTTAACTGAGGAACCATCTTGCCCCAATGGGATTGTCCCACCCCATTCGTTTTGGCAAAAGAAGCATGCTGTGAACTCCTTGGGAAAGGAATTTTGGCTGGAGGAGTCTAGGATAGTGATGGCGAACCTTTTAGAGACCAAGTGCCTAAACTGCAACCCAAAACCCACTTATTTATCGCCGGGTGCCAGGTGGGCATGGCCCACTGGATGGGCGTGGCTGTGGTCATGGCAGACTGGGTGGGTGTGGCCAAGGTGGGTATGGTCACCTTGATGTTGCTCGTGGGGAGGGACGCCTGTTGGGGCTGGGCAGGGTTGGGGGAGATCCAGGGGGTCTCTAGCAGGTGGGGCAGTGTGCAGTAGGCGAGGCAAGGCGAAGCAGGGTCGGGGTGCCATTGTCACAGGGCAAGGCGAGGCAGGGGCCGGGGTGGCTATTGCCTGACACCATGGGCCCCCACATACAGAGGCCAGCGAGCGGCCCCTCGACTGGTGCACTCTGGGGCTCCGCAGCCCACCCGCAGCAGTTCAGAGAAGTCACTTCTGAGCTGGATGGCCGGCCGACAGCTGAGGAGGCGATGCAGTGGGTTGTGCCCGGAAAAGAAGACCATGCGAGGCCGGGAGGGATGGGACAGGGGGAGGGAAACCAGCCATGCTGGGATGCATCCAGCCATGTGGGACCTCTGCAAGTTAGTTAGCAGGCGGCTGGTTGAAGAGGGACGGTTACCATCTCCAGGGCATGGTATATGTGCCCACAGAGAGGGCTCTGAGTGCCGCCTCTGGCACACGTGCCATAGGTTCGCTACCACTGGTCTAGGGGTAAGTCCAGTTAACCAGTGGAACAGCTTGCCTTCAGAAGTTGTGGATGCTTCGTCACTGGAGATTTTTAAGAAAAGACAGGACAGCCACCTATTTGAAATGGTATAGAGTCTCCTGCTTGAGCAGGGAGTTGATTAGAAGACCTCCAAGCACCCTTCAGCTGTGCTGATTGAACCTTTTCTGCTGTGACCTGTGGAGGTGAGATCTGATCCCACCCGTCTGGCCTTCCAGAAGAGCCTAAAAGCTGGCTCTGCTGGTTAGCTTTGGCCCTAATGAGGGCGCTCCATAGTGGAGGTGGCTGGAGGAATAATAGAGAAGATTCCACCTCCCTACCATTTTGGTCTTTGTAGTTTTTTATTTGATTCTTGTTAATTTTAATGTCTTTATATTTGATTTTATTGTAAGCTGCCCAAAAACACTTCAGACAGTGAGATGGGTGGCATATAAACAATAAAGTGATAAAGAATATAGTTTGATTAAAAATTATGAATGTTGTTTGTTCCCCAATATTAATTCCTGCTCACATAACCACTATCAAAATTTCTCATAGTACAGGCATATAATTAATTCCTTTTAAAAGTAAGAGAGATAGTACACATTGTAGAAACAGAATTTCTGTCTGGTGCATGATGAATTTAAAAACAAAGTGCAGTTAATCAGGCCCGACACCTAAGCTACCAGCTGGGACTCTACAAAATAGTGAAGTCTTCTGGTCAAGCATATTGTACAGATTTACAAAAAAGTCATTTTACAAATAAGTTTAATTGCCAGAACACAATTATACAATGCATCTTAATCCAAAGCATATAAAACAGTTTTACTGTTAGAAAAATGTGGCAGTAATAAAAAAAAAGAGCAAATCAAAGTTATTTATACATTCTGTTCCATGTGACATTCATTAAGAAGATACACTAGAAAACTAATCAGTAGGAAGTTGATTCTCTTCAGCCTTATCAGCATTTGCCTTTTCAAGTTCCAATACATTAACAGCCAGTTCACCTGGACAAGCTGACATGCATCACCGGACTTAGTGAAGCCGCTCTAATTTTGCTTGCAGAGATTTAAAGCTTCCGGTAATGGTCTGTACAGCTAAGGTTGGACTTATAGACTGCAGTTCAACAAGGTAACAGCTAACAGCATCTAAACAGATATTTGTGAATCGCCGTCTAAAGAGAAAGAAAACATTGATCTTATTATTATATTATTCCTTTCCGTACAATTGCTATACAGTGACTTAAAAAGTCTTGAAACTTATATTCATTAAAAAGTTGGTGGATGGAAGGAAAATAAAAATAAATAGACCTATTAACCCAACATTCATTCTGGGAAGCCTGGATGAAGAGGGAGGCATTCAAGAAGCACCAAATTTACAATCACAAATTTCAGGTGGGGAAATTCCATAATGCAGGGACCACCTCTAAGAAGGCTTGTCTGAAAATAATTGCAAGTTGGCACAAATAATTGCAAGTGCAATAATCTCTAACGATCCATCAGACTCATCAGAGTATCACAGCCCTTAAACTTACAACTATTGCAGCATCCCAGTCACGTGATCAAAATCCAGGCACTTGATTTGTTATGTATTTACGATGGTTGCAGTATCCCAGGGTCATGATTGCCATTTCCCAGCCAGCTTCCAACAAGAAATTCAATGGAGGAAACTGGATTTGTTTAATGACCTTGTGATTCATTTAACAACTGCACCGATTCACTAAACCATGTCGAAAAAGGTTAGCAACAGACATTCTGGCCTCAACTGGGGTCATAAGTCAATCTATACCTGTATAGATATTTGTCCTTCTTTTGCCAGCTTGCTCTACTCATGGGCTGACTACGTAGGTTTTTCAGGTATGGAAATTAAGTTGGTTAAAAAAAAGGAACAATTTTCTAGAATAGGAAGGTGAAAGACTACTTGCCATCCTGCTACATGTTTTAAGAATAAAAAATGGATTAAAATATGTAAGTTAATAAAAGTCATTATAGGCTTGAAAATACTCAACATGATATTGTTAAAAAACTTGACTGAAGTTTTTTTTATTTAATTTTGATATGACGTTTAAACAAAATTATACATT